ATTTTTTTTCAACAGAACCAGTTACACACTACATAAGTCTTCTTTCAGACATTCATAAATAACATAAATAAGGCCCCACAATACATCAGCTCTGATTTTCACACTGAATTAAGGGCTACAGGTGTTACCCCATTTAAAAGAGAAATATTCAGTTGTTTTTTTTGATCATACTCCTCTTTGTTCATATTGGAAAAAACCCCTCACCAAACCGTGTTTGTGTCGTTTCAGATTGTGCAGGAGTCTCCCTTCCTGACCATGGACCTGCTGGAGTCCTGTTTCCCCTACGTCCTGCTACGAAACGCCTACCACGCCGTCTATAAACAGAGCATCAGCGCTAATGCATAGACACATATTCCACACTGCAAAGATCCACCATACTGTTCACCACCGATTCAACAAACACACACTACACATGTACTGACTACAAACGTAAAACACTAATTTATGCCTAAAAATGCCTCAACGTAACGTTCTTACAAAAATATAGAGAATCATTGTGGAACATGTGCATACAAATGTTGACACTCTGAAGGTATGGTTTCAAAGAATACACAGTCCACAACAAATAAACCAATCACCGAAACACGTACAGAACACTAGCAATTCAGTGCACAAAGATGACAAAAGATCTGACAGAAACAAACACAAGCTGGATGGGGGATCGGCGTCTTTATTTTAATCATTGTACTTTTTCATGATGTTGCAAGGGACCATTACCATAGCAACACATCATATACCATATGTTTGGTTGGTATTAAAGAACAAAAATATAAATATATAGTATATATATAGTTGACACTAAAATATTTTGTCTTTTTTTTTTTTTTTCCATAAAGATTTGAGAGTTTTAGTGGCCAGCTGACAACTTTTATGTGGTGATGGATTTGGATGCTTATTTTGGGAATGCAAATGATGTGATGTGGATTCCTTTTTTTTTTTTTTTTTAAATCAAGGAGGGTGGGTGAGGATTCCTGGTGTTGATAACTAAAGACTTGTTGCTTGTTGATGTAAGTTTACACTTAAAACAAACACTGACAGACATCCTGAGCAGATATAAAAGAACATTGACACACTAATCTTTCAATATTTCATCATAAACACACACATTTGTATAACATGGTGATATTTTCTTTCTTTTTTTCAAGCTAGATGTAACAAGATTTTTGTGGGTAAAGATATAATATCTGTATTCTACTTTGATGTGAACTGAACTCGTCTGTTTTTAATGTTTCTGTTTTGTTATTTTTATGATGATGACAATGATGATGATGATTTGCCAAATGTGTTGACACTAAAAAAAAAAAAAAAAATTGTGTATCAGGGCTTGGAAGTGGTTGAGTGATTGGGTATTAATAGATGAAATGCCATTGTAAGTGTTGACTTTAATGATGGACGTTTGGACAACTATCCGCCTGACTCTGCGGACGCTCGGTTAAACAGAAAGGGGTTTACACACAAAACTATTACAGAGGGAAATGAACTTCAAGATAAATACTTTAGTAAAACATGTTCCTCAGAGCTGTTTGAAGTAACCTCTCCTAATAAAGTAAAGCTCCAGTAGGTGCTGCTCTTTTTTTCCCCCCAAGTGGTTAAAAACAGAAAAAGCCAGTGAAGGATTGGATTTATATCAACACTTGAAAATACATTTTTCTGCAGCCCCTGGCTTCTGAGAAGAGGATGCATTTTTGCTTCTCTGTTTGCTTTTTTACAGGCTTACATTGTTGGCTACCAGCAGGCCCCTCTGAAGCAGCTGGAGGGATAGTGCCTTGCTGAAAGGTAACTTTTAAGAGTAAATGTTGAGGATCCAACATCAACACAAAGTGGTTAGACTAAAACATGGAAATACTTAACCTTCAAATTGAATCCTTCACAGAGAAACTAGCACATCTTGATTGATCTCAGACCCGTCAACAGAAACCTGGAGCTGCAATAAGACAAAAAAACAAAACACAAATGTACATATAGACTCTGGGTGATGTTTTCACTGCATTTATTAACTACTGTCAATGGGACATTCTCAAGTGAGGTTACATATTGCGACAGTTGATAGGGATTTCTTTTTTTTTTTTTTTTTAGAACAGACAGATTAACAACTTTTACAAAGTGCAGTCTGTTTTTTTCTCTCTTTCTCTCTCTATCAAGGCATGGCAAAGGGCTCCATAATGAGACATACATTGCTCCCTTTATGCCAGCCCTCTGCTGATGTATGACTAACACCAGGGATTTGTCTAATCGCTCATACTGCATACTATATCAAACTCTTAATTTTGGACGCAGATGCTGTATTTGCAAACTGAACTCAAATGAACAATACATAGCAAGAAAACACTCAAATCTGGACTCCGCTGCACCATGAGATGTGAAAAGTGTAGTAGTATGCATTATAAGGACGTGAGGACAGATCCATGGACTCATTCTGCCATTTGATGTGGAATGGTTGCTGTTTTCTTTCTCATCATTCTTTTGTGTCTCTGATTCCACCGTGTAACTTAAATGACATGAATAAAATAAACATTAGGGCTTTGTCAGACCTGAGCTGTGAGTGTGTAACACTGCTTCGTGCACGTGGCTGAGGTGACGGGGAAACAAGGTAAGTGCTAATGCTTTATTTGAACAGATCAGTTTTAATTATTAACGCCATCAGAAAGCTGCTGCCTTACCCTCATTGAACTGGTGGTGACGCAGAGACTGTCAACAGGAAGCTTTGAAGTGTCACGTTTTGCCACTTAAAAGTCAACTGAACTATTCCAAAGCAAATATTAAAAGGAAATTATAAACCATAAAATAACAGGTTCTACTTGTCTGATATTAATCTATCAACACTGTCTATTTAAGCCAATGATCCCTAAATCAACTCCATATCTATAAAATATAGGGACTTCTTGCTTATGCAGAACAATTAAATCTGTTTTAATGTGAATCTAAATAGAAAAACCAAATAAATTCATAAGAATTCACGTTCAACCTGTTTGGTTTACTACTTTTATGTCCGGCTTTTACTTAACACATTTGAAAGCCTTTTTAATCCAGTGCAAGGAACCAACAGGCAGACTTTTTTGCAATTCATTTTTATTCATGTAATTGCCTCTCTGTTTAGAGAAACCGAAGTCCAAATGGAAAATGGGGCAGGGAAGAAGTTAAAAAAAACCTGATATATCATCCACCCTTAGGGTGAACAGTTAACCCATTTATTCCCAGAAAAATAGAAAGCTTTTACATTTTCTTTTTTTTTTTCTTTGGTTGAAAATTCATCTGTCCACTCCAATCGATGACATGTGTCAAAGGGTTTATAATGCTGATCTTTGCATGTGTATTTGTAATATTGATTAAATTTTTACATCAACTGTTTCAGTTGTCTTTCAACCTGACAGTCCTCCCCATGCTATTGATGCACGCTCCAAAATGAAGTTGACAGAAACATTCAAAGTACAATCCATGAAATGTTGACTTATTAATTAATGCTTAATTGTTTTTAATTTTTAGTTCTTCACAAAATAAATACCCTTTTTTGTGGCATTAAGTTGAAGTGTTTCCTAAATTGCCTAAAAGCATCACAAAAACAGTGACATAATGAAATTTGGACATCTATTGTGTAGTTTAGCAGCTGTGCAGTTACTTGCAGCAGCCACTAGGGGAATCCCATAACTTGGATACTAAAGATTTTATATTCTTTTGTTTATGACAAGTAAAATCATGCTGACATTTTATTAATTCAATTGTAAGTCACAGTGACTAAAAACTGTATTTAAGATAATCAAATGAAGTTAAAAAAAAAAAAAAGATACATATTACCTTGTCCTGTTCATTTGAAGATAAATCCAAACCTGCTCTGGTTAACTGTAAACTGTAATCTACCTTTTGTATTTTTGCAAAACGGTGTGTGTGTGTGTGTGTGTGTGTGTGTGTGTGTGTGTGTGTGTGAGAGAGAGAGAGAGAGAGAGAGAGAGAGAGAGATTTAACAAATGCAAATTCTCAATCTTTAAATGTTTTACTTTGTTTAAAAGCTGTGAGAAAAAAAAATCACCTTTTTAAGAAGAAAAAACTAAAACAAATCAAACAATCTTTTTCACATAATACGTTTGGACTTTAGGATAGCCTACAGTAGAGACTATGGCATGAAAGCATTATAAGTACAGTCTTAATGAATTGTATTTGTCTTTCTGTCTTAGGTAAAAATGTCTGCACATTGTTTCAAACACAGAGTTAAAAAGCTCAAGGTAGTATAAAATTACTGTTGTTTTATATTCCATTTGTTAAAGTTTATTGTAATGTTTTCTATAATCAACAAATCCTGATCACCTGGAAGAAAAGTTGCAGAAGCAAACAACCCTTGACATAAGATACTTTTAAGATAACGACCTAACACACAGCTATGACTAAATTAGATACACTGATGTAGCCAGCTGTGGTTAGGACACCAAATAAATGTGTGAATTTCTCATTTTTTAAAATATTTTTTCAGTGTGAATTATGAAATAAAAACAGTCACAGCACAAGTGTGGTTCCAAGAACAAATATTTCCTCTAAAAGTTAAACTGTTAACTGTAATACTGTTTGAGGTTAGCTGTTGTGAAAGCAGTAAGGTAGCTTCTTTGGATTAAGAAGAAAGATCATACTCCGAACCTATTTATAAACTAATAAAGGGAAAATAAAGGTAAGATAACTCAGGTGAGTTTCTAGAGTTTAGACAATTTAGACAGTTTTTGCTAATGAGTGCTAGTGAGTTAGCGCTGTCAAACCAGACTATTTCCATGACAGTTAACTATACGAGTACAGCTGGTTATAGTTTCTTATCCTATCAAAACACTAACATCTGTCTCTCCATAAAAATGTCCAATTTGAGCTGAAGACCAGAGTCTGTTGTTTTTTTTTTCCAGAATATCAAAGATGGCCGCCTCTTCTGCGCTGAGATGCCTCTGCTGGATCAGCCGTCCTGAGTGTTCGTTGCCTCCTCGTCCTCTTCAGGTACAACATTTTTTAGTTTGCCTACAAACACAAATGTGACTCGAATTCAACAATATTGAAAAGATAATCAATACTTGTTGTGGTTTCCACCCATACACTTAAATAATCTTTTCAGGCATGACAAAGCAATCTTAAACCTGTTAATTGACATTAAGTGGAGGAAGTAAGGTACATTCACTGAAGTAATATCTTCAAGTACAATTCTAAAGTACTTGTCCTTTACTTCAGTCATGTCATTATGAGCCACTTCTGCATCTTCTCTACATTTCAGAGTATACACCTATATATTTTCTCCTCGATATTGACTTCAAAGCTGCTGTGACCTAGAGGTTGATCATTTATACCAGTACATATTTTACAATCAAAAAATAAATCATGATACATTATTATAGATTACACCAATCCCCAAAATGTGGTATTTTAAAGCTATCCAACCTTTACAAGCTGCAAGTCATGTGATATACACATTGCATGCGATAATAAAATACATCCATTTTGATCAAATAATTCAAAACACACAATTCTGAAATCTGTAGTATTTGTGATACACGTCTGAAACTTCAGGTTATCTTAATCTTTATACTTATGTTATGTGCTAGGAAACCGACTTCGCCATGATCCTTTGAAACATAAAATATACATTTTGAGTCACACACATGAATGATTCACCTCTCCATGAGTGATGCAATAAATTTCCAGGGCGCTCGGTTGTATTTTTCTTTGATAGTTGTTTGAAGGTATGATATTTCATGTCATGCAGACCCCTAGCCCCACCTTCACGCGATCACCCACAAACAATCAGACTTTAAATCAAATGTCCACCACGGGAATAATAAAGTATTTATGATTCTGATTCTGAAAATGGCAGGCAAAGGAATGAAAGTGGACAGTTGATACTAAAAAGAAAGTAAAATCATATATATATATTTTAATTTACTAATTCACAGTGACATGTAAGCATCCAAATAGCCAAACAAATCAATAAACAATAAACGATATCCTTACCCAGAGACACTTGTACACAAGGACTGTCCATAACAAAAATGATAAAAGGGTAACCTTTTTTCCATTTTCATTTCAACCTGCTAAATCTTAAATAACACTAAAAAACAGGCAAAGACAATGACTCACTTTCAAATGATCTAATCATATGCACCCTAAAAGGAACTTGGGCCTCAAATTGGGATGGGCTTTTATTTGAAGAATATGTGTTTGTGGCTATTTTGGAGGATTATTTATTTTCCTTTATTTCTTCCTGCAGAAAATCTGTGGACATTTAAGGCTCTACAGGCCCATAGGATAAAAACAGACACATACAGAGACATCTCAGCTGTTAATGCATTGACAGGGGATCGCTGATCTACAAACAACGGGGTCACACAGATGTATGGCACGGCATGAAATGCTATTTATATTTCCCTCAAGAAATGGTGCACAGAGACAAAACAGCATGTTAAATGGTCGTCCCAATGCTATGCTTTATGTGTTTAATTAATCTAAAGCAAATCCCCCAAAAATACACGTTTCTGTAAAAGCAGATAAATAAAGGATTAACTATTGTGTTTAAAAATATTACACTCACACATCCAGTGCATTTTTGAATATAGTATATCTTTATTCACAAGCTAAGCCTCACCAACATGACCTGCAGTAATTTAAATTTAGACAGATTTAGCACATTTAACTAAAATCTTTATGTGTGTATTTAGTATGTCTGCATGGGAGAGAAACAAATCAAAGCACAGAGTTTATGTGAGGCACAGGAAGAAGCAGTGATGTTAATGGGATCAGATGAATGTCAGTGACTAAGAGAAGAGAAAGTTGATTATGGAAAGACAGATACATGAAACAGAGCGAAGGTGGCTATCGAGAGATGGAGTCCGGACTGGACGCTTCCTTTTTGTTGTCACATGACAAATCTGAGAAAGAGGTAGAGAGAAGGGAGGGGGTAAAGGGGGTTAGAAAGAAAATAGATCATGGAAAGACAGAGGGGAGAAGACAGGGTAGTTAGTGCTGTTAGTAGTTAGTATTATGGAAATAAAAACAGAGAGAGTTATTAGTAACAGACTGAGTGTGAAAGTGTGTGTGTCAGTGTGAAATAAGCCAAAATAGTGTGTGTATGAACATCGTTTTAAAACTGTAGGTGAAGAGTGGGATGCAAGCATCAGCAGGAAACGTCACTGTCACAGTTATATAATTATATTAGATTTATTATATCAAGCTTTAAAAGATTGTGGGTTAGGTAAAAATGATTACAGTATTAACAGTAGTTCTATGTATTTATATAGGCTTACGTAAGGTGTCATATATGACGTTATGCACTAAAGTTATAATAAGTTATTGTTGACTTCAACAAGCTCTGGGCCACTTGGTGAAAAGTGTGTTTGTTTGATACATCCATTAGATTGAAAAATATTTTAGCGGTCTTTATATTATCATATATCATATATATCGTTATAATTATTATGGTCTCTAGAGGCTGACGGCTTATTCATTACATGAAACGGGTTGTAATCAGCTGTTGCACAGAAGGCGTATATACGCTCATCAGATTACTTTGTTTAAACTGTTCCTCTAAAGATAACGTCAGAAAATGACAAAAGTCCTTTATTTATTTGCCAGGTCAAGGCAGGTTATTTATGCCACTGTTACGCCTTGTCTTCAATTAAAAAAAAACAGGATGGCAATGTGGAATGACATACTGGGACACAAATATTACACTACTTACTCAATGCAAAAGTACAAAGGCGTAGTGATGGCGGCCCTTCATTGTGGACTCGCAATTGTGGACTCACAATGTAAAAAGGGCTTGTGAAGGTCTGGTTTAGAGGCTTTATATGCGATTTTCTCATCCAGCAGATGTCGCCCTTGAGCACCAGCATGAAACCAAAACAACTTGCGGTGCATTGTTGTGTTAGCATGCTAATGCTAGCGATCTTTATTATGCTCGTATCTTCACACTGCATGTAAATTTACCCGGAATGAGCGTGATCTAGAAACACAGTTAAGCAGTGAGTACAGTATGTTATTCTTCTTTTCTCTAGTCCCTCAATGAAACAACTTTTATACTCGAGGGGAGGAGTCAGCCGGCCGTCACGACGATGTAAACAAACTGAAGACAGGACTCGGAAAACTCTGAAAGCATCACAGACAGTGGGACTCGGGTGTTACACCCATTGTAGACTGTCATGACTCACAGAGTTATTTTCAGAGGATATACTTGATTTCTATTACATTTAAGTGTGAAAAATCGCATATAAAGCCTTTAAAGTCCAGCAAGGAAACAGCAGGCAACTAATTTAAGAGATTGCAATATACTTGAGAAAACTGTCAAAGCCTGTATTCATTTATTCAAATGGTTGTTTTCTCTTAATGTAGTGTCTACTTCTAATTACTGTTTCTTTTCTTTACCAGAACAATAGCCTCCGTACAAACCAACCAACTGGCCACCGGCGCCCCTCTAGTTACATTTTTATCAAGGCATTTTAAATTATTATAATATAATTGAGAAGTTGTGTTTACATTTGGTAACTTAGTTTTGTGGAGATGTTGCCAAGCAAATCAAATGTGGTTGAAGGAGGTTAATATTCTGTGTATGGTTTTGCCAATATATTTAGCAAGAGTGTGTGTCTTTGGTAGGTGTAGGCAGGGCCAACATTACGACTTCACTAACTCTGAACATGACAAGTTTGCACAATGTGTTGGTCAGAAGCTGTCGGCCATGGTTAAAGTAACAGAACACTGTCTTTTTTTATGTCACTGTCTTTTTTTGTTATTCTTTGTAAGTGTACTGTTGTCCAAAGAGTGTATGTTTTTCTAACTAATAATTGTTTACCCCCTTCACTGTTGCTCTCTGCCACTCCTCTCTCCTGATTGGCTAACAGCAGACATGCTTCATTCCCATTGGCTTCCTCTTCCCCATTGTAATTGGCCCACAGAGCGCTGGCATAGAGCTGTGCTGTGATTGGGCTTAGCTGGCCTTCTGCCTCACAAAGCCCCGCCCCCAGAACGTGCTGCTCCACCCCCAGCTGAAGCTCTGAGGAGAGAAGAACACTTCTAGTGGCAAGTTTTTTTTTTCACCACAGTCATGAAGTCTAAGGGAGGGAGAGCCCTAAATAAAAAAAAAACTGAAATGATATCAAGTTAAAAAAAAAACATTATAAAAAAAATATATATATTTAAATGAAATTATAAATAAGGAAAAAAGCGCAATACAGTAGCTTTCACTAAAATCTTTAATATTGTCCTTAAAAAAATATAACGTCAGATTTATTGTTTTTTTTTTATCTTTTCCTTCATGTCTATTTGGATGAAAATACTACTGAGGGTAGCTTTTATAAAAGTATGGAATAATATTGGTGTAATTAACCTTCTATCCATATTTAAATAGCCATCAATCTCCAGATAAAAATCTAATGGGATAAGTGAATAATACAGGGTTTTTTCTACTCATAAAGTCATATGGTGCATAGGCAGTTTCTCATGAGGCTTTTGGCTAACTGGCAAACACACACACACACACACACACACACACACACACACACACTTAGACAGGATCAATAAAAGAAAAGCTTTTACTGCCTCCACTTCCTGGAACAAACTCAGTGCTGCAGTCACTTGTAGTTGGCTCTGCAAAAACACTTATGTGTTGTTTTTCATATTACTTTCATCTCCTGCATGGACATGAATCTTATTCACAGGTTCATTAGAATATATATCTATGCTTTCTATGTATTTGAAGTCAAATATTGCCTATATCTACAAGATGTAAAGGTGTTGTTACATCAGCCTCTCTGAGCTGTGGAGCTCCACTCAGAGGCTGCAGCAGCACAGCTTCCTCTGGCTATGTTACACTTTTATGAATTATTCAGTATAAGCGATGATAACAAAATGACAACAAGTCTTTTAGAGATAAAAGCAGGCAGCAGATGCTCCCTGGATATACTGTGGATAAATCTGTGCTGACAACATTTTGTTTCCGATTAAAGGAGTCCTGTTCCCGAAAAGATCAGTATTCATTAATCTAGAGACAATAAAGTACAACACTTATATTACATATATATATATTTACAGTATATCACATACTGGAGCAAACAAACACACTTCTACTCTGTTGTCAATGAGAGGTGCCTCTGTTGTACATTTTCTGGAGCACATATCAGCCAGATGTGTGAGGATTTAATATTTCATGTAGTATTTTGTATTTAAGGGTTTCAAAAATAAAAAACTACTACTTGTCTTTAAAAGTTGTCACATTGGGAGTTAAAAGTCAAAATCTTAAATATTTTGACCCTCAAAGTTCCTAAATATACGAGTTAAAAAACAAAAATCGACTTCAAGGGGAAACTCGTGTCACATATCTTATCTACCTTTGGTTTCCAGCCTTCTTGTGTTAACTTTAACATTTTCTGTACAAACAGGAAGACTGTTGAACTGAAACACACCTCTGTAGTTACCCTCTACAAAGGGATGAACATGACGGCAACATGTTTTTATTTGGTGTCCAAACGGTGACTTTTTGTGTTCGGGAGTTGTCGGTCATGTCAAACACTGACAGACTAATCATAACATTCAGTCAAAGTTGACGGGATTAAAACATCAGATCGATGTTCAGCGATGAGGAAACTGTAACTTATTCAAATGAATACATGAAACAGACTTAAAGGTCATGTTTCCTACATTTTATCTCACTGTTTAACTCCATTTAAAAGAATATTCTTCTACATTCGTTTTAAGGCACCTGGCTGTAAATTAGCACCACATACTGCTTAACTCAATAAGCCAAGACATTACATTCATAAATCAGAAGTTGATGGATACACAAAGTTTTCTTTTTCTAACTCTCTAAAGCCTTTTTTCACATATGCACTCCGGATAATATCTAGATAATTACAGGAGGACTTCTCCGGAGATTTCCCCAACCTAGCCATTCACATATGCTCCTCACAGCGGGGGACCCTGGTCAGAGGGGGGGGGGGGATTTCCAGAAGTAAGATTTGACGTAAATAAACAACGCGGAAGTAGCGGCCGAAGCAACAGAGTCCGCTACACAACGTTATAATGACAATATTTGCCTTTATATCAATGCTATGTGTAATCCAATGGAGAACAACATACTGACGAACAGAAAACGTAATGCAGACTTTTAATTATGTGCACGGAGATCGTAGTGGTCGCGTGCAAACACTTTAGGTAGTCACTAAATAAACGTCACTCGGGTACCATTGGCTGGAGTTGAAATCTCCGGAGTATATGCTGCCGCGTTCAGACATCAGCTCACTCGGACTGCTGATAAAATACTAGGGGTCCGGCAGGAGAAACTCCGGGTAAAGTCTGCGTGAAAAAATGCGGCTGTTTGCGTTCACACATAAAGTCCCTAAAGGCCTAAAGAACCTCTGGGTAGTCCAAATGTCAGTTTTTCAGGAGATTTCCGTATGTGTGAAAAGGGTTTAAGAAGTTCTTTAAATTTATAAACACATTTGGGTTGAAGCTGTCTTCTGACTCCCTGGAACATTATAATGCTGTTCAAAACCATTTCTGACTTAAACAAATCAGAGAACACAAGCTTGTAGTTCTACTTAAGAACTTCAAGAATTGTCCTGACTGAAAATACTTTTTTCTCAAAAAAGAGATGATACTGTTAATGTCATTTTAAAGGTGTAATGAACTACAGTCCAGCCACTTCTATACAATTGAGAAAAATTGTTTTAGAATTAGAATCTGAGAAATAAATTAAGCAAGAAATCATTGTAGATTTCAGTTGAATTGTGGGTGACAAAGTCTAGTAAAAATTTTTGTTTTTTCCACATTATGGCACAAGAACAAGAACAATCCCAGGCGGCTAACATGTGCCTTAATCCAAACCATCAAGTTACCACCTTACCCACAGCTCCCACCATCCCCCATCGCCCTGTCAGCTGACACTACCCTGATCTGAGCTTGAAAAGAAAATGATGCTTAAAAACACAAGTTGAAGGATAAACATAAATAAGTGCAGATAACACAGAGAAAGACCGACCACAAGTAATAAACCAAAACAAACGAAACGTCGGCTCAAAAACAAACATGTAGAAACCATGAAGACATGTGTTTACAGCTGCAACAAAAGCAGCACTACACGACAACAGAGCTGAAAGTACATGCAGGATGAGGAGACTGTATTACTTCAGTACGATGTTATTTATTTACATAAACATGAAAAAAAAAACAGATATATTACTGAAGACCACAAACAGCTTGCTGATTACATGACTAGTCATGTTTTAAGTCAACATTAAAAGCTCTTTGTGTCTAAAGGACAGAAGCTGAGCTTGTTACTTATAATCAGGGATTTAGAGATCATTAGCGTGAAGAGACATCTTTGAAAAGATCTTTGAAAACTTCTGTTCAGCTTTTGAGGCATTCCACTAACTGAATATCTGCTAAATATAAAACCCTTCTTTTCTATCAATCCTGCAATATGTCATTTTCAGTTTGCGTTTAACGTCTGGCCTTTGTTGCATTGAATAGAAAAATTATCAATGATGCATATTTTGATGCTGAAAATGCTCGTGTGTTTACCTTTCATGGAGGGTGGGGCGTAGGTGCTCTGCTTCCTCTGGGAGGCTTCTGAGACCTAAAGAGTGAGAGAGAGGAGAACAACATTTGACTTTACACAGTAACTCAACGAGAAGAGTGAGTTTCTGTAAAAGAAGATTTGAAAATATCGATATGGTGTCCAAATGTTTATCCTAATGTGGAACGCTGAATTTCCACACAAGCCGCCATTTAGTGAGCAAATTGTTGAATTCCTTAATTAACGCCGTCAACTTTTAAAGTCAACAACTCACAGTGAATGTGCGAGATTGATAGACATTTTGTCATTCAATTTTTCTTTTTTTAAACTACTTAAATTGAATGAATTTTGGTAATAGATACTATAATAAACATTTTGTTTCCCTGCTGAGAGAAATGGATCTGATATGTCAGAGGTATGAAGTGTTGGGATTTTGTCAACAGATTGTCCTTGAAAGGTCGTCCGCTCACCCTCCCTGTTTACAAAAAAATGACATTCAACAAACCTGTGACTCTCCGCTGGCGTTGTTTTGATCACCAACATCTGCAGAAGATAAGAGAAAGCAGCATCAACATCTTTATCTTTTAGATGACATGTCAATGGCTCTCTCATACATTGATCTAGTTCTGTTATGTTGTTGTTTTGAAATCTGTGTGCAGTAACGGGGGTTCCTTGAAGCCTCACAAGCAGCCACGTATCCCACGAATGACATTCAGTTTTACTAACTGTTAAACAGCTGTCTAAAAGAGGTTATGGGACGAAGGTGATCGCTGCCTGAATTTTGTTCACAAAACAACTTTTAGAGTGAACACCTTAATTAACCTTAATAGAAGATGGTCAGATGATGGCAGGAAAACAAAGTGCAGAACTGCTCCTGTGTTTTACATCCACACTCTGGTCTTAGATTTGGATTTAGGCATTAAAAGCACTTTGGTAAAAGTTAAGATAAAACACTTAAACAGTCACTCTGCTGCAGTCACTCAGAGTAGAGACAGTATTTCAAGATTTCCTATTGAAGCAGAACATAAATGAATGTGTTTTCAGTATACTGTACATTTAATATACTTCAACACACCAACTACATGAACAACATTTGTTATTTTGTCCAAATGAACTTATTTTGGTAAGTATAATGTTTTCTTCAGGATGTATTTCCTGTTGCTAATGCATTATGTATGAACATACAGTAAAGACACAGCTCTGCTACCATCACTAGTCCTTATAACTTGTTTTTCAGTTTAAAGCACAAGACTTCCTGTTTTTATTTGTTGCTCCTTTGGCCCGATCAGTTCCTAACTGAGGATGTAAATCTATAAAAATGCCTTAAAAACAAAGTGCTTTATTTGAAACAAGGCATAATTACTGTTAAAACAACGGAGCACTGAAAGGGGAAAAAATATCTCCAGCAGCCAACTAATGGTCATTTGTTCCTGAGAACCAGAAGAATGTGTAATCTTATTTTGACTGATTTGCTCTTGAACACGTGTCAGAGATCCATTCTGGGCTGAATCCTTATTAATAGATTCTGTATAAATGTTTTAAATGTCAGAAGTGTTCTGGTTTTCGTAGCAGTCTGAATAATATTTTCCACTAGCGTTCAGTGGGATTTGCCTGTTTGAAGGGAAACAGTCAGTGTGGAGAGCAAAAGAGGCTGAACGTAATCTGCCATGATACAATGTTGAAAAGATGGCCGTGACCTGCTCAGGACTACATTTGTTTTCTATATAAATTGACACCTGTGTGCATTTTTCAGGGAATCTGCTTGAAACTGTTGGCTTTACCAGAATCCAAACAAAGTTGTCCCTTGCTTCCAGAGGCTCCAGAGTTATAGATATAATTTATCTCAAAAACCAAACACGATGCCCAGAGGTTTCTCTTAGAAGTCAGTAAAGTCTAACATTACATAATGTCCCTTAAATAAGGAAACATGCTCACAATATAATAACATATTGATAAGCAAAGTCAATACAATATTTCTGCAAAACATTGAAAGAAAAATGAATTGAAGACCTAACATCTGCTCTGTGAATATCTTTGTTCCAGGTCAGAGGTGCACATTCATCTCTTGTTTTCACAGCTGCCAGCTGCTTCCTCTCCACACACTGACTGTTCAGAATTAAGATAAAAAGAATCCAATAAACACTTTGATTTCTTTCTAAATATTTAAGATACTAAAGTCATGTCTTTCTCTGTTCTTGTTTGTGTTTCCTGTCTTCCTGCTGTGTTCCAAAACCTACATTCTTGCTCTCTGAATTCTTTTAGAGAGAGAAAAAAAGTCTGCTTGAAAACACCTCAGGCGCCTGCAGAGCTTTATACAACTAGCCCATGAAAAAAATGGGATCAGTACGATTATTCAATCAGCCAGTTCCTGTGTGGAGGGATTTTAAAGAAAGAGCCCCCCCCCACATGCACACACACACACACACACACACACACACACACACACACACACACACACAAGCATCCATCAGTCCAGTCTGCACAGTGAGATCACTTACCAAAAGCTGCAGCACAAATCTAATAAAGGTTCCATTATAGCTGCTGCTTTTCAGCCCTCTCCATCTCTCTCTCTCTCTCTCTCTCTCTCTCTCTCTCTCTTGCTCCTTTTCTCTCTTCTCTCTCTCTCTCTCTCTCTCTCTCTCTCGCTCTCTCACTCACCTGTGCCAGGTTGTCTGTATATCTGCAGAGTGGCAGGAGTTGGTCTTCTGCGACGGATCTGAGGTAAACACAAACACAAACATTTCCATTTTCCCTCCTGTGGACACCTCTATTCTCAGACCATTAAAACTCCACCTGTTATGTTTCTCCTCCGATTAAAATGTTACTGTACGCTAGTTATCAGTTTGATGCACCATCTGTCGGTTTTCTCCCCGCATGTTGCAGATTGTAGGTTTTATTGCGATTTTTTTTAAATGTGTTATTTCTAATTATTTGCCCCTAAAATCTATCTTTGACTCCCAGTTTTTGAGCTGACAACTCTCCTAACATAAAGCTTTAAAATGAAGCTCACTGTAAGCTGTTTTAAACACCTCCTCAGACTTATTGTCCCATTAAATGTATTTAAAAATACACAGTTAAACACACTCCTGTAGGTTTGTGGAAACAAAGTGCATTTAACTAGCAGTCTAAAACTTCAGTTTTGTTGTTTATATTTCAAATGCCTCTTAAAGAATCCACTTACAGTTTTATTACCTTACTAAAATAAAGCACTTTCCCAAATACGTCATTGTTGTAATCTGCAAGTACAACATACAGTAGTAAGCGTTTACAAATCCAACACTCCATTACTTTTAGTCCACTTACTCAGTCTAGTTAACATTTATTTCATATATTTTATGATTAACATGGCTTGTAAACACTAAACAGGTTTACACTGCAGCTATAGTAACTTCTATGAGTCCTGCAGGAGAACACTTTGAGTTCACTCTTCCTGGCTCTCAGTTCTCACACTGAAAGAATGTAAATGTTTGTCGTCATTTTAAAGGGGGGGGACCTGGTTACAAGATGAAATCTCATAAAACCGCTGCCAGAGTTTATCTCTGACTTCTGTAAATGCTGACAGGGGCTCCCTAAACAGCCACATAGGGGCCCTCATCTGTCACTGCTCATTACCAGCTTCCTTAGAAACCAACAATTTCCGCTTTGCATCGACTAAACAGTTCATAAAGACGTCAGCAAAGCAGTGAGCAGCGCGCCTTACATAGAGAGGACTGTTTTTATTCCCTGAAGCAATGTTTAAGTTTCTGTTTCTTGTTGCTGCTGTAGGAGCCAGTCAAGAGTCAATTCAAGGAGAATTACGACTCTGGTACTCTGAGAAGTCATTCATCTGTGGTGTTCTGAACTGTGTGCTTACTCTTGTGCTTAAGAAAAGAGCAGTCTGTAAGTATATGTTTCCCATAATGTCCAAATTGAAACAACTCCCAACATAGTGGCAAAAAAATGTATTGCAATTAGCAACAGATTGTCCGTAAAAGGACTGCATTTAACTCAAATGATGTTACTTGATTGGGTGTTTTTATTGGTAATTTTCTTATAAAGTATTTTAGAGGGTGGTTTTGCTCAACACCGTCACAAAAGCATGCAGAAATACAAATGAAAACTCTTCGCAAATAGATTTGAATTCAAACCATCTTGCAAAACATTCAAACATGTCACATGGATGGCCGCTCAAACATGACAAACCCAATAAATACACACGCAGTCAGCCTTTTACACACACTGCAGTTTTCATAGCTCTGACTTATGCACACGTTGCTGGTCTGCACCCACACACTGAGAATTCCTGTCAAGACTCAGAAGATCACAGATAGAAGCCCCATTCAGCCCTCACATGCATGAACCCACACTGTCCACCCCGACTCTGTGACACACACACACACACATGCTCAGATATACACACACACACACTCACATGTTCTGCGGCCTGTGGGTCCAGCTGTCCCTGCAGCGGAGGCACAGCAAACTGGATCTTCTTCGGACTGCTGGGCTCCATTATTACTGACTGAGAGATAGAAAGAAAGACGGACAGAAAGAGAGAGAGAGGATGTGTGTGTGTGTGTGTGTGTGTGTGTGTGTGTGTGTGTTTGACAAAGAGGGAGGGAGCAGAGAGGAGGGAGTGGTCTTCTTGGCCGATCAGGTCCATTATCACTAATTGACAGGCTTGCACTGGGAGAGAGGAAAAAGAGTGGCCTAGTCAATGCAACATTTTCCTAAACATACGCTCTGATGTAGAATGATGTAGAGCAATGACTTCAGAGATGTGTACATTAGTTGTGCCTTTAAATATTGTGATCGTATTCAACACCAGAACAACTAAAAAGAGAGCCAACACATGTGTTCAGTCTGATTCTGACACTAAATAAGATACAGTAAGCAGTGAGTATTGGTAACCAGTTTTACCATTTGAAACTAATTTATATTCCAAAATACTTAAAATATATCTTTATGCCCAACTCTATCTAACTTGATTCATTGAAAGTAGGTCATTAAACAACGCTTTTATGTACACCATAAAGGACAGAGAATCTGAACACAGGACAACCACTTCATGGTGAAAACAATAAAACATTTCTTCATTAATTTTTCTTCATTATTTAACCAAACAAATGTATGAAAATATGAAAAATTAAATCAGAGCAAGAAGAATATATTTTAAAACAGTTTTTGTCAAATGCATTTTCTTTACCCTTCATTGGACGTTTAGATCCCTTGACCCTTTTAAAAGAATGAAAGCATGAAAATGTCTCTGCTGCCGTTTTAGATAGTGTGGTGAAAGCTAACTTGTGAATGTTAAACAGGTATAAATCTGTTAAGTTTTCCTTTTCTTAGTTCAGCATGTAGGCATGAAAACAATATCAAAATATTAGTTAGCAGCAAGTATAGATGAGGCTATTTAAAAATGTCATGATGGCGTTGGTCACGTGTAAATTTTGTCAAATGTTGACTTCAAGATGGCAACAAGTTGATTATAAAGCACAAAAGGAGAGAAGAGCACAGGCTCTAACAAGTTGAGTTTATTTTATACACGCTAGAAGGGTTATTGTTGTTTTTAAATAGTGAAAAGTTGTGGAAGGGAGAAAGTGATTGGGCACCATGTTATCTGTTTTTTTGGTTCTAATGACAATTTTTAAATCAGAAAATCAGGAGGTGGAATCAGGTTACTCCACCTTATTAAGGCTTGATGACATACCGATGTGTTGCTTTAAAAAGTCTGTCACAGTACTTATATGGTCAACATTGTAATTACCTTCAGGTTGCAGCCTGGCCTACATTTCAAAGCTATCTACAGAGGAAATGCAAAACATCTCTCCATCCATCCTTGTTTAGGCAGATCTAATCTGGGGCTTGGTCATAATTGCAGCAGCTTAACAAGTTGACATCTTTCGCCTCATCAACTTACACATGGAAACACACAATTAAAAAAAAGGGCGACCGCCGGACCTGTCGAAAATTTTGACGAATAAATGTAGACAATGGATCTGTCGCAAAATTTGACAAAAAAAACAATGAATGCGGACCTGTTACAAATTTTAATGAAATAATGTGGATCGCTGACCTGTCGCAAATGTTGTGAAAAAAATGATGACTGCGGACCTGTCGCAAATGTAGATTAAAGAATAATGACCGTGACCCTTTAAAAATTTTGACAGAAACACGATGATGTTGGACCTGTCAAAAATGTTGACGAAAAATACGCTGACCACTGACTTCTCGAAGAGTTTGACAAAAAAAAACGATGACCGTGGACCTGTCACAAGATAAAAATGTCGACTCGGCCTGTCGAAAACTTTGACGAAAAAACAATGACCACGGACTTCTCGAAAACGGCAGACCTGTCGCAAATTTCAACCAAAAAGCACAAATTCTGGTGAAAAAATGTTGACCCTTGACCTTTCGCAAATTTTGACGAAAAAACTGTGAACGCAGGATTGCAGCTAATTTTGACGGAAAAATAATGACAGTGGACCTGCCGCAAATTTGAACGAAAATCGATGACCGCGGGTCTTAAATTTTGATGAAAAATTGTCGACCCTTGACCTGTCAAATATTTTGACGAAAAAACGATGACATAGAGTGGGGATGGTGCACTGGCTGGAACAGGTTTTTTATGAGTAACACAACAGAAATTGTTCGGTGGAAATGTTGAAAGTCTGTTTCAAATGGAATGGCAACTACTCTTATAGTTGCCTTACTCAAACCCTGTTACAACTTAATTGTGGTGCTCGATGGCATTGAAAAGAATGACCGTCATTGAGTTTTGTCTTTTTGCCCCAATAAATATCAAATATAGCATAATACTTTTAATATGGACATTGAAATGTAACCCTCAAAGCCCGAGAATAAATCTCTGAATGTATGATAAAAAATTGCCTATATTCCAATGGGATATTTCAGTCATTAATAAGAGTTGTGGACTAGAAATCCATTGAAGCATCCACAAATCAAAAATACATTTTATGCCAGGAAGGTAATGCTCACATGTTCTTTTGATTTTTTATTATTTTGTATCATTTTGTAACTTTTCAATTACTTACAATGGTAAAATTTCAACAGGTTGTTTTAAAGCTTTGTCCACACTGTCAGCATTGCAGAAGCCCCATAAGCCTTCACTTCTGTATTTTTCACTGGCTAACAAGGAGTGTAATAAATGTATGGAATCTTTAAATGCTGTGATACATCTATAAAATGTGCTTTATGTGTGCGGTTTTAACGGATGTAAACTCCCTGAAGGTTGATGAAAGCTTTATTCCCAGAAAGTTAAGGGAAAATGATGTCAGTGTTCACAATGTTCCCATCCTTAATGGACACTTTTTCCAAACCATTTTCAAAGTTTACCATAAGATTTAGGAGCCTCTCAGGGTCATATGATGGAAATGTTTAACATAATGATGTGGAAAATCCAACAGCAAACACACAAACAAACCATGTGACTTTTAACATGGACCCCAGACTCATGAATTACTAATGGTGGATGTGTACGCTCAACTGTTTGTTATTTAACCTTTATATCCATAAAGTAAAAAAAACGTTTTTATTATACAACTTTATTATGATCGTCAAAAAAACAGTACAAATATAATGACTGGTATCAGCATATTCATTGTTTAGTAATTTGGCTTAATCAATCAAGTAGAAAAAGGAGGTAGTTACATGGCAGGCAGGTGCAGGGCCATGCAACAAAAACAGACTGAGGAAGAAGAAAGGCCACACACTTGCTCAAATGCCACAAAAAAGTTTTCATACATCACAATCACAACTTTTTGACCAGATGCTATACACTCAAAAATGATCACCTAAAGAAGGTCAAAACATTGTGATTGTGATTAATTCAAACTTTTTTGTGGCATTCAAGTGTGCGGGCCTCTCTTCTTCTTTAATCAATCAATTTCAATATCATGCTGAAACGTTTTTGAAACATTTCATTACATGTAGTAGTATTTTCAGGACATATTGTCCCTGTCATTAGCCTGTGATTTGATTAGGCTGGTATTGCAATTAAATATTATTCTAAAGATATTGTTAAAGTTTTATATTGTGATGTCAGGCCTGGTGGAGCGACCTTGACTTTGAAAGCTTTGAACTGATTTCACTTCAGCATTGACATTTTTTTTTTTCCAAACCAGTAATACGTTTTGTGCTTGTCAATACAGTCATATTTCCACTGACTTACAATTTACAAAGATTGATGTTTATCTACCGCAGTATACTTATTCTATTTTCAGTGACATTCACTGTTGCATTTGCAGCAGTTGTAGTTTTAAATTCTCCACATTCAAAATGTATTTAAATTTGTGTTCATTTGTTACAACTTTATTAAACATTTGCAGTTATTATGGCCACAGAAATACCATTCAATTGATCAAGTGTCCAATGTCAGAGTTTCTATGAACACAAAAACTGTGAGGAGTTTTTAAAATAGTCAAAGCTTAACTGCAAATTAATAATCTAATAGAGGTCCAATTAAAACCTTTAAACCAGTCAAAATAAAATTCATTAGGAAGCACATTTTGATGATTGAAATATGGTCAGGTTTTTAGGAAACGCATATGAGAATTTAAAAAATGTGAAAGCAGATTTTTGTTTGGACTTTTTATGATATAACAGAAATTAGAGTCTAAGAGGGAAAAGAAAGTTCAGTCTCCCTCTTAATATTTCTCTTTGTATCTCTGTGTTTGCAGTCCATTTGCATTTTTAACCCCCAACAAGAAAACCTGTGTCTTTTACCTCCAATTACATCATCCGTGTGTGTGTGTGTGTGTGTGTGTGTGTGTTGGCAGTTGTAGTGGAAACAAACACTTTGTCCCTTTGGGGACATCTGGAGAGACTTAGCGGCTTTTAAAGGTGGAACAAACCACACACACATCACACAAAGAGCCTCTTGTGAGTTTTTTCTATGAGATTGGAAGCCGTCCATCTCTGTGACGGTGAGACACAAAATACGGCTCTCGTGTCTCGTGCTAACAAGCACCTGCATTTTCCATTTCAGCGGCTGCCATGGTCGGCTTTGTCTGGTCGGTAAACGAAGTCAGATTTTGGGTACAGCTGGTTAAAGTTCTTCAAGTGTGTTTTTTGTTGATAAATTGATGGCCCAAAGCACCCACCTCCATGAGAATCAACAGAATTGAGCTTGTGTAGAGTAAAGCTGATTATTTATTTACATGGACAACTGATTGTTCCTTAACCGTCAAAAACACTCCGAATGTTAACTGTGACAATTTAAAAAAACAGCTGGAACAAGGATATTCATTCAAACATCAAAGGATATATATCAAACATTGAGGAGGTTGTCTGGTAGGCAAATATTCAGTACATGTTGACACAGATAGTGTAATACACCAGGAAACATGTAGAAACAAAAATGTTGAAACAGCTACTTTTTAACTTTATTCAATTTTCAATGCATTGAACACTGTGTTAGAATTCTGTGAAGTATTTAAATAGCTCTTCCAGCACTGTAAGTGATAGCCTTGATGTCAGAAAGTGCTTTTAACTAACTTCCACTTTCTGAGACAAAGAAAGTTGGCTTAATACATTTAATTGAGTTTACTGGGATATTTTGACTGATTTAACTTTGTTAATGCAGGGGCTTGTTGAAAAAAAAGAAAAGATAATAGGCTCTTTACTCAATACCACTTTCGAGTGAGAATCGGTGTCAACATAAGAAAGTTCAGCTATCTATGAATTAGCTTTGGACATTTTCTTGGTAATTAATTAGATACTTTTATCTCATACCAGAGTGATTGCGTTAAAAGTTTTTTCTTAAAGCTCCTGTAAGGAATTTTCAGTTTCTGTTGATTTTGGCGCCCTCTGTGGACAAAGCGTGAGGATTTATCTCTTTGCTCATCTTGACCTGCAAATGTATAGATATTGTTTTCTGTTTTTTTCTGTTTTCCTTTTTTGTTTTAAACGTAACGTGCAACTGACAATGAATCTTTGCGAGGACATTTTTTTTAAGGGTGTTTCTGTAGCTTACTATTAATTGCCTTGAGTTCTGACACCTACCCATTGGCAGGGGTGCCAGATATCCTAAAAACATAACCAATAACCAGTTTAATCTTTGATGGTCTTGTTTGATATTGAAGGTCATAAAAGAGCAAAAGTTTAAATTTCAGTCTGTTTCATAACCTTCATAGAACTCTGCACAGGAGCTTTAAGTAAAACAGTTCAATACTTTGTCTGACGCTCATGGCAGGAGAAGATTGAAAGCTATAGTTGGCCTAACTTTAAGAGAATAAAAACACTAAACAGCATAACATGTTTTCCCCAGTGTTGAATGTTGTAAAGGGACAGGGCTGAGAGCTGAAGAATGAAAATGTCTTCCATCAGTTTGTTTTAACAGCTGCTGTTACAGGAAACACACATTCAGGGACAAGAGATTAAATAAATCTCATATAGACACAAAACAGTTTTAACTTCTTTTTAAATAATAAAAACAATGTCCAAATAAGTGCTGCATCACTTTAGTTCAGAGTTTATGAAAGATAGTTTTTTTTTTTTACACACTGCAAAAAAATAGGCCTTGTAACAATCAAAATAGTTTCCCTCATTACCTTACATTCAAATCTTTATCATCTATTTTCTGCATATTTTTAATTACATATAAGTCTAGTGCGTGTAAGGATTTTGCATGCTGTACCAGTGTGGCTGTGGAGGAGATGCATGCAGATGTGTGTAAGGTGCAAATGGGTTGTGTATGGGTGGGTGCAACAGTTGGGGGTGTAACACAGGAAGTGTGTGTGGAGGAGGTGGAAACATTTGAGCCTGAGCTGACAGAGGGTCAAAGTGTTGAGGTTGTTGTTGGTAGCGTTGATGTGACAGCTCAAGCATCGGTTGTTGGTGCGGGTATGGTGGCTGCTGTTGCTGTGATGATTGTAGTGACGACTGTCGCCATAGTAACTTGTTCATTGTAGGTCTCAGAGGATATGGTGGGTTGTTGATTCTTTGTCGCCCTTCTCCGCCATTTTCCTCGGTTTTCACTTGCTCAAAAAGGTGTTGTTGCATGACGTTGAAAGGGTCGTCGTCCTGTTTCTGCGATAACACCTGCAGGTGGAGGGTGGAGACAACCGTACGAGGGCGGGGCAAGAGGGACCAGGGGATGAGTTGAGGGGGGAAGGAGGAAGGCAGGGAGTATGATTTGACAAGTGGATGTCTTCGAGTCATAGACTTTGTCGTTCCTTTATTCTCCTTGCTCTCTGACGTTTCCCCCTCCTCCTTTTGTCTCTCACCACCTGTTTTATCTCCGAGATCAGGGTCAGCAGTGTCCACCGGCTCAGGTGGGGGATCCTCATTTGTTTCCTTCTCAGAGCTGCTGCTGCTAGAGCTGGACTCTGCGTCTGATTCAGAGTCCACCTCTGGTCCAGAGTCCTCAGCTGATGAGCTCGACTCACCATCGGAATCTCGCCTGGATCTTTTCTTGTGGTTGTAGCAGGCAGAACAGCGAGTCAGACTGAGGATCACAGGGCTTGGTTTTTTCTGGACAGACAAGGAGATAAAGACAGCCAATAAACAGTTAGTCAAATCAAGATTTGAATTCCACTGTCGTTATTTCATATATTCAGTTTGAAGATATTATCAGATGGATGGGAATAAAAAAAAGATTTAAATATACCAAAACAAAAGTTGGCTCGGGATTTTTAAGTAAATTTGAAGGCAACAAAGTGCACTGGAAACAGATTCAGCCAAAAAAGACTTTTACTTTGCCTTTCAAAGCAGATGTTACAGACCCCACTGATGTGAGCATATATATTATATATTAGTGTGCTGGTATGCAAACCCCCTTTAAGGGGGCGGTGCTTATCCCTGTGTTGAGCTTTTTCTATCTTTTTTTTATACTTTAAAACTATTAAGTATTGGAACAATTTGTTGTTGAACAGTTGCTATAAAGCTCCTGTGAGGAATTCTTGGTTATGAAACTGACTGAAATAAATATGAATGCCTAAATGACCTACAGCAGCAAACAAGACTGTGTGACTATGGAATTGATTGCTTTTATATACAGTAAAAGTCAGTTAACCCCCCCCCCACAGATCACATGAATTACAGCAGCACGCCATGCTCAAGATTGATGTCAATTGCATGCTATTCACTTTAAATGAAGAACTATTATAAGTGTTTTTGTCAGAAATCACAAATTTTGCATCACAGGAAAAGATCAGCTAAAAGACAGAAGGTACTACTTTGTCAACAGGGGGCACCAAAATCATCCAAAAATGAAAGAAGCTTTAGAATGACTACATCATTGTGGTTTAGGATTATGTCGAAGCCAAAAGGTTGTAGCAGGTGGCTACAAACTGGCTTCAATCACAGTGTCTAACATAGTTATGATGCAAAGCCACCAAGCAGATCCATCCAGATGAAGTTACATTTTTTGGGGTTACGGTTGCCAGGAAGGCAAGGAAGGCTAGAAGAACAGCCAAACACTGTTTCCTGTTTCCTACTGACTTGCAGCAAGCTCCTCAGAGCTTTAAGAAGCTTTAGTGATCATGTGATATCAAACAGTGAGATCATCATGTTAATTATGGGCTGTGACGACTGAGTTACAGGAAATCTCTGCCTCAGGACAAGACTGTGTCATACTACGGAAAGGTGATAGAAATGCCTCGGATTTATATTGTTGCTGAATCAGGAGGACTTGTTGGCTGCCCAATATTCTTCAAAATAAAAAGCTGCAACTCTGATAAGCAGCATGGGTGTCATAAACAGTAGAGACATCTACCTGTGCTTGGTTTTCACTGTCAGTATTCTGGGCTTCTGAGGAGCCTCCAGAGTGTGACTGAAGTCCTCCACTCATTGTTCCAGCTTTCACACCTCTTCATCTGCATTCATCCTGATCCTTGGGTAAACCCTAGTGGCAAGAGAAAAAACCTCTTTCAACACAAAGAGCAAAAATAATTCAACAGATTAAAGGTACCAGTAGACATTTGCTTTTTCTTTCTATGAAATTCGTTATACTTTTTAACATTTAATTACTATGGTATTCATATCCTTTACAAGCACAAGAAAAAAGGCGTCTGCTAAGTGAATTGTAGAATTTTAATAGCAAATGGTTAAAAGGAAAAGGTTACATAAAGTTTCTAAATGTTTAAACTAATGTCTAAACAAAAAGTGAGGATAGTCAACGCAGAATAGATGTACTCTCTGTGACTGTGTGTGAAAGCGACTTTGAACTTTTGTTGTTTTAGCTTTTTTTTTTTTTACAAACCCATTACAAGACATTTCTGACACATTTATTGTATTATGGATCTGCTGATTATTTCTCTGTTATTCTATTGTTTGTTTCAATTTGCGAAAAATTATAGCAAAAGTGAGAATTTTCATAAAAATAACCCAAAGTGACTTTTAAGGAAGAGCACTAAATCTACCATTCATGCTTACTTATTAAAAAGTCATTTCATAGGGTCCTTGTGTGTTATGCATACAGAAATGTTTAATTCATTAAATATCTAGAAACTGGATTATCCAGAATAAAGTCCAATATGGAGTAAAACTAGAAGGATGCATTAAAAGAAATACTAACGTAAATATAAGAGAATTTGAATTTTGAGTAGAGATCTTGAGGATTTGCACTTACCCATGTTCCCACCTTCTCGTCCTCAGGTCCCGTAAACAGCTCGACTGTCAGGTTGTGTCGACTTCCAGCACTCACACGCACCTGCATTTGTTCATGTAAATGAGTGTTCCCACCCATGTGAGCGTACGTGTCTCTTTTATGTTATGAGAGTACACAGAGGGTCACATTGATTTGAACATCGTCAAAGACAGGAAGAAAAAGAAAACCAGACTACAGATAAGACATACACCCTCTGTAAATACAGAGCAGGATCATCCACCACAAACTCTGACGAACTGAAAAAACTCTCTCTGCTACTTCTGTTAATCCTGTTGTTTTTAATCAGCTGTTTTATTATAGGTAATGCTTGATTAACAGGTTGTGCGTGTGTTATATAAAACTCCCTTTATTACTTTTATACACACACAAAATAAGACCCTTAAAATCAAATCGGTTTAAAATATCTTTATTTTATCTAGACAATGAAAAGTTGGATGCAACCACACATGTTACTCCGTGCAGAGACACTTAAGGCATGAAATATCTGTGCTGGTTTGTCCAAAAAACTGAAGCAGCTCACAATCAAAACAAAAAAAAGAAAAAATTAAAGAAATAAGGATTCAGTCATAAATCAGCAGTTATTTATCCTTCCTATAGCCTGACATAAAGCACAGCCCACCTTCTTAAAACAGCAGATTGACTCCACTCACCCAAGTCTAAACTTTGATATGAATGTGGATGCAGCGTTGGTTAGCACAGCTTGGCATACAAAGTGGAAGCAGTGGTAAACAGCTGGCTGTCAAAGGGTCACTAAGTCTTTCTACCAGCATCTTTAAAAGTCACAAATTTCCATGTTGTTTTGTTAACCCATAGATAATCTATAGTTTATTGAGATACTGAATTTCAGAGTGGTTTCAATCTTTTAATTCTCTGCATCAAAGCGAACATTTTACAAATGAACAATGAAGTCTAACACATTAAGACATTTAAATATTTGTATTTTGTCAATTTTTGAGGGGGTTTAATTTTGCAGCATATGCCATTTTCTTTTCCAATTCTACCTGCAGGAGACTGTCTGTTTTTCTTCTTCTTCTTCAAGCCTATCATATTTGAAATTATAAACATAATAATCGGATAGGCAACGTGAATATAAACTACAACCTGCAGATAAGAGTGCTGCCAAGCTGTTTTAAAAAATCATCAGATCACAAGTCATTTGACATTTGACACAAGGCATAATGTTGATCATGAAGCAGACCTGCTTGAGGGGGGAAAAAAAACTGTGTGATTACAGATAAAACTTAGTTTAATGGAGTCGTCCAAGCAGCCTCTGGAGAAACACATCATCACAGTTTTCAGAGAAAGTAAAAGAAATGTCAGTCTCAGTATGTTTTCAACAAACACATATTGTTACTGTCGCACATAAGGCTGCCGCGGAACATCATCGAAAAAATTAAACACTGACTCAAAACAGATATCATTTCCTTAACATCTGTTTTTACAATCGCCATGATCACTGTTATTGACCACAGTACCTTTGTCACTGCATCTTTTTTCAGAGGATTAACAAAAGAAGAGACATTTAAAATCCCTCTAAAGTGCAAAACAAACCACAACTGCACACTTGATACTTGGGGGGGAAAAAAGGCTACTGTTTGGGTTTGGTGCGATTTGATTTATTTAATTGAAATACCTGTGTAGAGAAGTTTAACATTTAAATAATCTGTTTACTTTGGAGAAGGCTAAGATACAGCAGCAATGGTTCATGATCCACAACTTGTAACACTCAGGTTTACATAAAGGGTTTTCAGAGGTTTGACATAAATGGACTATGTGCATGTTTTTTTTTTTTTTCCAAAGGTGACTTTTAAGAAGATGCAAAGTGTCACCTTTAAGCGTTGGTTTTACAGGTGCAGACTCTCCATATTAACCACATCTTGAGCAGTCATGTGTGAGATCTCATCTTACGCCCCAAAACGTATTCCGTGTCTCTCAGCGCGTGCGACTGTTTTCGTCATGTTCAGATGACATCTTTCGCACGTGCTGACGCCGTTATTTATTTTGTATTCGATGACGTCTTTGGCACATGCTCAAACAGCAGAGCATGTCACAAAGGTACGCAACAAACACTGCGCAACACCAGCTTTTGTTAGCTAAGAAGTGGAATCAATCCAGTCATGTCAACAGTGGGCAGGCCGCCACCACACACACTCTTCAACCCAAGGCTCTAAAATCCAGTGAAGCTGTTCTGGCCAAGCTCGGGTGTGATGGACTACAAGGGGGGAGTAGGGTCACCATTGGTAGCACATTTGTGAAATGAGGAGACTTTCTCGTGACATTGTTAAATTAAGACAGGTAGCTTGCTTAGCTCAGGAATGGCTATTTACGGTACCTTACCCATCCAGACTCCCCTCGCTGACCTGTAAATCTTGTAGCTTACAGTTTAAAAATGATGTTATCGGCTAACCTTAAGAAACAACTAATGCCACATCTACACAGCGGAGGCAGAGCCAAGCTAACTGGCTAACCTTAGCTTGCTTTCTTGCTGTTATCATAAATGATGATAAAAATCACAAAAAGGCCTCATTGCCTGCCTCCTCCAGGTTCCCCTTTGTTACTAGAACAATGATTTGTCTAACTACAAACCATGAATAATTATTCCCAGCTACCTTTTGAATCTGTGACGCTAATTCAGTTAGCAGAGACAGTTAAAAGAAATATTGCTAAAATGCTTAGTTGTTTGCCTTGGCGGAGAAAAAGCACACTCAAACACTTACCGACACAAAAACACAACATATTTATACGCCTCCACATGTGACAAAGGCCTCGTCTAAACTCACTGTTTCACTTTAATCCTCGTTCATTTAAGCACCCAACACATCGTGGCCCTGAGATCTCCACACACTGCAACCACAGAGAGCATGTGCAAACAACATCATCAAATAAAGAAGACGTGCACATCAAATAGACAACACAACGCAGCATATTTAAATATATTGGTGGATGTGTTACTCAACTTTTGTTTGCGTTGTGTCTATTTGTGTTTGCTGTGTGTGTTGAACCCTCAGGGCCACCGTACTTGTTTCTTTAAACTTAATATTTGGCAGCAGTTCGTTACCAAAAAGGTTTGAGAGATACAAACATTTTAAAGGCAGTGACTCACACATTCACACATCTCTGTACCTCGGGCTTTGTTCAGAGTGCAGGCACATCTGATTTGTCAAACCAGATCTTCAAGTCAGACTTTTTGGAACTTTCACTTCTATCAACAATTTGCAACGGTTGCTGTGGTGACCATGCAGGCGTCGTTTTTTTTGCAGAATAGCATTAACGATATAGTAACCACAGTATGGATTCTACGTCTTTCTGCACAGCCACTCGAATGCAGTCTGGGAATGGTTTGTTCTTGTTCGGCATCTTTGATTTGTTTTCCATGACGCGAGTAAGCCGAAAGACTCAAATATATCCAATTTGAGCGCCTGGAGTATTATGTGTTACTAGTGAGAAGTATCTGTGGAAATCACATAACATTTGAAACCACTTTCAAATGTGGTTTAGATCTATTCTACACAAATCCCATTTCATATCACCCCCCCCCCCCAGTCTAGATAAAATCTTCTTAGGAAACATAAGAAAACATTTGGATTGGCAGTCTGAACAAGGCCTTAGAGACTCAATCCACTGTATCTGAGTCTCGTCTTTGAAGTGCAAAAAAGATAAACAAGCCGGCAGAAAACAAACACGAGGAGCAGGTGAGTGACTCTTCAAGCAAAGAGCTGCAGGCCGAACACAAGTCTTCTTTTCTGTCTCCAGTTTTTTAAACACCAAAAACACTGTTTATGTCCAAGTGAGTGAGAGTTGAATTCACTGTTTTAAGCATGACCAGAAGCTACTGTTGGGAAGAAACTTTGCTGGACCCACGGCCGATGGCACATTTCATGTAGAGCATTACATTTGTGCAAACTTTGGCATCTCAAAACCCAAGCGCCTTAGCTCTCTGTGTGTGTGTGTGAGAGAGATAACTGGCCTCATGTGCTCATTTGCCGACTGTGCACGCAGCCTACTACAGTTGCTCCTGCTCCTTTTTTTCCTATTTTCCATTATGTCTTACTCACAGAAATGTCCACCCCCCCCCCCCCCCAGGCCTGGGGATAAATAAAGTATTTCTTACTCAGTACCAGCAAAGATGCAATTTCATTCCCGAGTCATCCTGGGCTACACTATAATTTTTTCTTCCTCGCTGCTGACACCACCAAATACTAGAAGCCGACAGGCCGGAAGAGGGACAAAGGTGTTTTTTTTTAAACCCTTGCTTTCAGCAGGTAAGCATTATTATGGAAGCCTGAAAGAAGAGTGTGAAAGATGCTCGGACATTTCAACAACAAAATAAGATGTTGACCGATTGGAAAAGGCTTAAAAATACTGTATGGGAAGATACTTTTTTTGTTTTATAACTTGATGTGTTTTTAACTTCATCAGTGTTGGCCACAAATACCTCCACGATTAAAACTTTCTCAGCATTCTCAGAAAACAGTGAACAATCAACTCTTGCATCTAAACTGTCCAGAGGATTCACAGTAAGTCATAGTCATATCCACAGAGCTGCCTTCTACAATCACAGTCCTCATTTGGCAGACATTGTCTCCGGCTGTGTGTCCACAGTGTGAATGTTACTACCTGTTGACTTATGAGAGGATGACATTGGCTCTGTCTCCTCAGTGGGGTTAAAGTATGATAAACTAAACACTCACAGATCTTTCTTTACTGCAGTCATATCCATCTCTCCAGTGTCTTCAGACTAAAGAAAAACAAAAAAAACACACATGACTCCAAAGTGCTCATGTTTGGCAATCGGCTGACTTCAGATAAAAAAGGACAAGAATGGACGATCCAAGAGGAGGTGAACTCATCCTCGGTTGAATGAAGACATTGTCAATATCTCAACTGGATGCAGGCACTGCCACTGATGATGATCCGTTGATGTTCTGTATTCACAGAGTTCAGTAGGTCTGGATGGACAACGGGTCTTCAGATTGAAAGGTCAGTGTCTGTGTCAGTGGGCGTGGTCTTTGGACTCACACTGCCTCCTCCTCCTCCTCTCTCTTCAGGAATGGAGGACGAGTCCCCATTGAGACCGGGAAGCACACCTGGTACGCACACACACAGAGACACACACAGAGACACACACAGAGACACACACAGAGACACACACAGAGACACACACTTTAACAGGTGAGTTTTTGTTATTCAGGAGGCATCATACACATACAAGGAGAATCCATATAATCCACAATAATCTTTGTTATTGATTATTGATACATTCTGAGATGTCTTTATTGTGAATGCTCATTTCATGATTCTGATGAAGTTGTGATGAACTGCACTTTAACTTTATATAATGTTTGGACGATTCATCTTTAACACATTACAGATGTATTTTGTACAGTCGGATTGAAGAATCATGAAATACAGATAATTAGGCACTTATAATTGACTTACAGTCAGTACAATTCTTGGGTAAATGTACTTACATTTATTCAACTACTGACTAAAAATGTTTGTATTTTTTTATACGACTACCAGCACCTCCAAAGCTCACTTATTACCGTGATATATACATATCTTTCATTAAGTAAATAATACATACAAATATGCTTGAAAAAGTAAGGGAGGGTTTTTCCCAAAATGTGAATGTATCATTTAAAGCGACAATTTGTCCGAGATGAAATCATGAAAGCCAATAAAACTCTCAAAACATTGGTTAAAAAAAAAAAAAAAAGGTTGTATATTTCAATCAAAGTTTGACAGGAAGTCATTACTTATTTTGAGGTATCATGGAGATAGTTGTTTAAAATGTAATGAGAAATCATTGTTTGACTAAGAAAGGTTCTGAAATTAAATTCACATACAGTCGTCACCTCTGTGTGAATAGCAGAAAGCACTTTCATAACAAATAGACATTACTAGCTATGATTGTTTTTTTAAATAATGTGGTACGTACTGAGTAGAAACAGAGATGAAAGTGTTATATCACTATAATGGTCTTTCTTGTGTTCATGATCAGAAAACAGAAAACTTGTCTTACGTTCAGAATCATAAACAGAGCTGTCGGAGCACGTCCGGTTCCTGCGCTGAGTTGACCTCTGACCTCCACTCAAGTACTCCTTCAGCACACCTGACCTGTGGGGAGAGATTATTTAAAAAAAGGAAACTTCACCACATTTGTTCCTATCAGTGTTTTGCCTGCTTCTTCTAAGATTCATGCCACACAAAGGTAAACTGTTACTTTTTAAAAATACATTCATGACACTTTATTTTATTTATTTAAACAATCTTTATTTCACTCTGACATCTTACTGTGTTTAAAGACATTGTACATAATTACAAATGTGTAAGTCTCTGCATCAGACAAAAATAATCTTTATATATTCTATATATTTTTATAAAATACACATGCACTGTTTTAAAAAAAATCATTTTGATTTTGATCTCATCAGATTTGCCTTGTGCTTCAATATAGAAAATATTCAGTTAGATATGAAATGATAAAGAGGCTACAATGCTGCCTCCTGGTGTTAGTAATTAATATTACAGTAATGCAATTTGTCACTGAAAATCTTAAACTTTATTCTGCTTTAATTGGGTTAGCAGATCGTTTGTATTTGACTTATTGTAAATAAATCTGTTTTAACAGAATGTTTAAATAGTCTACTACAAATTAAACACATACATTAGTTTTTAATGTATGTTGTTTTTAAGCTTGAATATATTCTTGTTGGCTACTTCACGCTGTTTCTTCTGCTGTTTTGTGAAGCAAGGCTGCGTGTTTGCTAAACAAATACAGACATTACAACTACTTAACAGTGGCAGGACCTGGTAACGAGGCAGAGAGGCAATTCATTGATACAGCACATTACAAACACAAAGGCAACTCAGATTGTTGTACATAGGATTAGAAACGCCGTAGAATGACTCACACGTATGCTCACCTGTCAAAGCTGTACGTTCCAGGGTGACTGATTGACCTCTTCATCTGTGCCCATCGACAGAAAGAATAAAAGATGTGAGTGCAACACGATGTATTAATGTAGCACGTCCAGGTCCAATAACTTCCACACTAAGTCAGTTTTTTTGGCCACATTTTCACTTTAACAATATCTGCAAAAGACTAAAGCTACAAGCAGAAAGATGTTCACTCAGGTTTACATGATGACTCCTTAACTTTTGTTTCCTCTGAATAAAGTTGTGTCTGCCACTATACAAGGACAGTCAAATGTTATTTCCCCTCATTACCAATTAACTGACAGCTCATTTATTCCCTACAATCATTTTACGTTGCACATCTGTGTAATTTGATTTCCTATTGGCATTCTTGGGATTGTTTTCTTGTTCTCCATCTCCTGACGGCTGCAGGCATCAGGTGATTGATGTTAAGCAGAGGGTAACATAATGTGCCAGACGACTGATACAAAGTAATAACCATAAAATGCAATTGTAGCTAAAAACGAATAAGAGCTTTGTGATTGCTGCGATTTAATAATTTGGGATATTTTTAGATCTATGGAGATTTATTTTTACACTGTGCAAAAACAACTGTGTGCAGACACCAACATGAACAAAGGGGGAAACATGGAGTTGGTGCAACCGTTAACAATGATTTGCTTTAAGTTCATCTGTTGGAGGTGCTCCATGAACTTACTAACAAACATGATGAGTGTGACATTGGGTCATATATGTAGAAATGTGAAATACATTTTCAAGTTGGTGCCTTCTTGGCCGAGAAAAGGCAGAAAGTGTCTTTTTGGCTCATGTGAATGAAAGGCCAAATCCCAGAATGCACAGCACCGCAGGCCACTCCCACTAAGGTCAGGTTTACAGACATATTTACTTCAACACATAAGGCTGTTTCCTCAACTGATTCCAAGATTTATTCCAGAAGGAATTGGTATCTTGGAAATTCCTGGCAGAAAACAGACTCTATGTCTGTGTCCATAGGCAAACAGTGAGAGTACCTACACTACCAGTCCGCCCCAGCTCGAGCTCCTCATCCTCACCACCGCCGACAGCTGCTGAGCTGGCAGCGGCCAGCAATATAGCCGCGAGATGGTTGCTGCAGTGGTCGAAAATATGATGAACTAGCGTTGTAATTTCACCCCGCTAACCGCAACAGCTTCCAATGATGCAAAATGGTGATTTTTGAGTCACTGGAAGCTCCTTTTCAGACTTTAAAATACAAAGATTTCCCATCTCAGGGGAAAATGAGGGCGGGATGCACGACCATTCAAAAATACTACCAGGTTTCTAATGATACAAAGCTTAATGCAAATGGGTGAAGTATCCCTTTAACGTTAGGAATGTATCTTGTATGACTGATTACAGTTTCTGATGTTTTCATATGTTCATCACTAAATCACTTAAGAGGGTTGGGCATACTTCTGTTCCATTAGATTATATTAAATTAGATGCAATTGATTGTCCCAGTCAGGAAATATGTTCCTAACAGTTTAAAACAAAAACAGTCTTCATAAGTTTTAATAAATGGCAAAGAAAAGCAGCGGATCCTCACAATTAAGAATCTAAATCCAGCAAATCTTTGTCATATGTGACTGAATAATTGAATGTGAAATTAATTTTCCTTCACTTGACTGATTTAAAAAAATAAAAAAGGAAATGTTCTTGGATATTTATATTCTCCTGCATCAAAAAAAACCCTTTCTGAACACTGGACCGATTATTGAATTTACTAGAGGAAGTGTAATTACCCTTTCAGGAGGTCGGAGTTCAGGGGTCAAACTCTGGTTAGCCAGTGTCATACACTCCTCCAGAGTCCTGATGAAAGTTGCACAGGTTGCACTGAGGAGAGATGCCTGAAGAGATGTAGAATATGAATGCCTGTAAGTGTTACTGTACTACTCATACTTCAGGGTTACCATCGTCCTCACAAACCCACAGAGGTGATGTCGTCAGTGCTGTTTGTTTGTCTGTTTGTTAGCCTGATTACTTAAGTTAAAGGTGAAAGGTGAAAACATGAGAAAAAGAAACAACTCAAAACAAGCCATTACTTAAACTGCTGAGTAACGATCAAACATTCAAAACCTCAGAGTAATCTGTCTAACTTTGAGAAAATAAAGAAGAAAGTGATATAATGTCTGTGGAAAAAGAAAGTGATACCTCCGAGGTGGGCGGGGCCTCTGTATCTGTTGTATGTTGTGATTGAATGGTTTGGACCTGCTGGACCAGGAGGTCACAGTACAGACGAAGTTCAGACATCTTTGTCTTTAGACAGTCTGGACCTGGTGAAACACGCACGCACGCACGCACACACACACACACACACGCACAGTTGACATATTTAACAGGGGGTAGTTTAGATTCTTTAAAGTGGGGTTGTACGAGGTACTTGTCAATAGTGAGTGTATCAGCATGGAAGCTAATATGCTACACATCGCCAACAGACGGGGTCACTTTAACCATGTAGTAAAAGCTACTATTAAGAAAACACGACCTAAAGACCAATGACCATTTTAGTGTACACTGTATTTGTAAATTTTTCAGCGCTTTACTTTGCCGTCAGCAAACAACTTTCCTCTTTCAAAAAGCTCAAAATAAATCAAATGTAGTCAGAAATCTTCAGCAAATCAGCAACAGACGCTGCTCCTCTTTTAGTAGTAACAGCTCTGCGACATTCTCTTCATAAATACAATGTTAATATCAGCAACACAGAATAATGTGTTTGAAAACAACTAGGATTAATTCATAATCAAGGTCCAAATGTTTCCCTGTTTCTGCCAGACATTTTCAAAATAAAATTCTTATCTTTATTTGTACTTGTTGATATTTTACTAAATGATCTGACTTCATTTATTTATCACTTGATTAGCTGTTGGAGTCATCTCTGGGCAATCTTCCAACATCGGTGTTAATTACTTGAAAACCACTCTTTATTAACCTCTAAGCAATGTAATGGCAGCTAATGAACCAAACACTACCTGAACACACTGTGCAGAGTACGACACAGGTAATTACATTCATCAGTCATAAGCAGTTTGAGCTAAACTGATTTCTTTCCCTTACAAATACTGGTGTGTTTTTTTTTTAGTCAATAATATTCACACAGACAGAGCTTTAGAAAAAGGAACACACTTAGCAGACTGACAGATTTACATTAAACTCTGTGTACCTTTGTGTTTGTGGCTCTCCAGTGTTCCAGCTTTGGACGAGCCTAAAGCCACCAGCCACCTCTGTCTCTCTGCAGCGTTCACAGCTCGGACATAGAAGTGCTGTTCGCCGGGGATTATCAACTCCAGACGGGTTGGATCTGATGGATGAACTGAAAGATAAAATATCAGTGTTTAATCCAGGTGTTTAAAATTATAACAAGACACAACACACGGGCGTTTAAAACAGCAGTCTTACCTTTAATGTCACACACAGACATCTTGATTGATCCTTTGCTTCCTTTGCCAACGTCATCCTCGCAGTCATAGTACGAGATGACCCCATTCTCTAAGACGAACCAGCGTGGCTGCCAACCTACAGGGCCAAAGACAAACTCAGAACTGAAGTGACACACACCTGTCTTCGGGTGGAGGTTTCAAAATGAGGGGGAACAGATTTTCAGTCAAATTTAAAGGAGGAATTGAGAAATGCTCATCATCTCTTTCCAAGTCCCAATGTAGAGTCTGAATTCAATAAAGTTTGGACATTGTGCAAAATGTAAACAACATCAGAATGTGATGACTTGCAAACATTTAAGCCCCATGTTTAATGGATTGAAGAGCAGAAGGACAAACATTGTCACTGTTTTAGGAAGAACTGTATGCTTTGAATTTGATCCGAACAAGACTTTTCAAAAAAGTGTAGCCAGTGGCAACAAAAGACTTGAAAAGCAGTGAAATGCTTATAAACATCTAATGCAACATCTCACAATGAATAAGGTTAGTACCATGATTGGGTACAAAAAGAGAGGCTGAGTCTGTCTGAAGTAAGGATGGAGAGGGGTTCACCACTCTGTGAACAATCGCACTGGAAAATAGTGAGACAATTTAAGAAAAAAAAAAAAAAAGGGAATCAAGGGATTTCATCGCCTTCAGAACATCATATCATTACAAGATTCACACAATCCGAAGAAATTTCTGTATGCGAGGGACAAAGCAAGAAAATATTGGATTGCTGTGATCTTCAGACCTTCAGGTGGCACTGCATTAAAATCACAAAAAACATTTTCATGCAAAAGTATCAAAACTTGCAGCTTTTGCTATATTTTAATTCACCTCCCATATAAACTTTTAAGTTAAAATGCATATCATGTGTTGCAGTATATCTTTATGCATTCATGAATCTTTGATGTTTGTTTCTTCTACTTTGGTATTCAAATTCTGCTGCTATATCTCCCCAATAAAATGGATACTTCCTAACAGTACTTCCTTGTGCAATAAAAAAGCATGTGAATTTTACATGACTCTCATCTCATTCACAGCTGACACAGAGCAGGTTATGGTGGAAGTCACAACAGCCATAAACAGTGTGTATTTTGTCCTCTACCATTATTATTTATAGACATGCTATGCTGCAATCATTAAGGTCAAATGCAACTATAAACCCTGTTACTGTGGGTTGCTTTGTGCCTCTATAGTGTGTTACTGTCAAGTTCCCTGCAAACAGCACACAGTATCAGCAAAGTGCATGTTAAACTATATTAATAAACATGTGTGAGGGATGCTCTGCCTGTTTGATGATGATAAGACTGACAAGTTGTGAGATATCGTGTTGCTAAAATAAATAAAAAATAACCTTTTCAAGTACAACAAACGACAGCTGGCATGTTATGTCGTAACCTTGTAATAATATTAACGTTTAGCTGGTAGACAGACGACTCACCTGTCATGTAATTCGTCCATTTGTAAAGAATCCCCTCCATGGTGTCTCATCGGCTTGTTTAGCTTGTTAGCTGTAGTTAGCACGGCAGGCTAACTGAAGCTAGCCGACGTTCCGTTAGCTTAGCTCTCTCTCGAGTGACGCTCGGTTATAAAATAACCCTCATTGAGATGTGTCTCTAAAAGTGTGTGAACTGCTTGTTGTCTGTGAGAGCTAGAAGGCAGTGGTGGTAGAATAATGCCATGATGAGGGTTTGTGTGTGCTGAGCTGTCCATAAACCGGTTAGCTTACTTGTGGCAGTCAGCTGATGGAGGAAAAAAAAATGTCAACAAAACAGAAGCTTTGCTACGGAACACCGCGGGGACCAATTCTCAAGGAGAATATAAACACACCTACCATAGACTGTAAATATTACAAATACTGCTGTCGTATAGAGGTGCAGGTCGGAGATTGTGTGTTCGTGTATTATAAACGAATATTTAAAAAAAAAAAAACTTGTTTAATTAAAAGAAAATAACATTAGCAGATTGAGTTCATAGTGAGTGAGGCATTTGTCTCCATGACAACGAGGTGAGTAAAGTCAACCTTTGTAAATGCCAAGAACATCCGAAATGGTCTTTTAATGCTGTTACCACGATCTCGTGTTTCTCTGAGGTCATGATGGTGTCTTTACAACTTTTACAAGATTTAGGCCTGAAACCTTAGATGAAGGTGAAGGAATGCATATTTAATTTTTAGGTAACACAGCTCCTTTCAAAAATGCCTTCGAAGATGAGAACAAAAACAATCAAAGGTAAGGCCTTTTATTCAGCCTCTGTGACACTTAACTTGATAAATATAGCCGAGCCTATGAAAGCATTTTAGGATTACTGTACTGTAGTTTAAATATCTCAAATCCACTATCATTCAGTGTGATATGATTCTCTACTTTTAACTGTAATTTGAACCAGTGGTAACTATGAATTTATTAGATTTGATAGATTAATATCCCCTTCAAAAATTAACATAAAGCTAAAGATTAGGAGGAAATTCACAACACAATTTAACATTCTAATAGTTATTTGTCTCAATAATTAAAATACACACATTTTTTCTTAAATTAACTATTCTACATAAAGAGTACTTTCACATTGGTACTCTGAGACTGATGTTTGTACTTTTACTTTCATTAAAATCTTAAGAAACATAAGACTTCATGAAAACTTGTGATTCTAAATATTACGAGGGATTTTATGGACAAATGCTGAGTCATCATTTTTCTTCTTATGAAGTTAAACTTGTGTTTTACAGAGGACACGTCTTATAGAGAAAGGGGACAGTTACTTTGTCTAGTGAATATATAATTCTTCATTAATAGTTTAGTTCAATTGTGTGACCTGGACAAGGCAAAATGAAAAGGAGAAAAGATTTAACTAAAAAAAATATCCTATTATGACATACAATAACCACATGTATCCAGCTGCCATAATTCTTAATCTCTCTTTATTGCATTAGAACATACATTTCTCATATATCTATATATATATATATTATAAATGTGAATTTGTACACTACAATCTTTTATTGTAACATGTTAGAAAATACTCGTAACGCTCCAAAAACATAGCACTAAAAACAGTTACCAAACAATGATTATTACATTTCCTTGATTTGTTTTTGGCCACCAAGAACATAAAAAAAAAAAAAAACAAGATTGAGGAGATGAAGCTGTCCATTAGGAGGAGAGGAGGGGACCACTGTTGGGCACAGATGGTTGGGCCATCGCAGTTTTGAGTGGCAGCCATTTTGTAACCAAAAAAAAACGGGCAGGAGATGAGGGGAGGGTGGGGACCTTATCATGACAGGTACAGAGAGGGGGGGGGGACGTGAAGGGAGGGAAGCGAGGAGAATGGAGAGCAGCAAGCACATGTGAGGTCCCTCTAGTCCAGCTAAGTTACAGACAGAGGTGAAGATCCTGACAGTATTTGTTGAATTAGACAAAACTAACAAAGTGATATTAGGTCCATAACCAAGATACGTTCAGGCAGCACCGTCACTATCAACTGTGAATGTTCTGAATTCTCAAACAAATATACACCCTCTCTTTTTCTAGTTGTTTTCTTTTAATGCTGATTTCTCGGCAGCAGAGTTTAGTAGTTCATCAGGAACCAGCAGCAGGTTTAACCAGCTCGTCGCATTTTAAGACTGAATCTCCTCATAATAAGTAGTGGTAGGACCAACAGGATGCAAAACACAGTAACAATGTGTACCTGTTTCATACAGTTAGCTAGCTTAATGTGCAGGACTGCAGTAACATTAGCTTTCTAAAGGTACCTTACCAATTAGTGATCTGAACATACGCTGTACATTAAAACATGTATAATAACATTAGAGGAAGAGAAATACACCGTTGAGTGTTAATATTGTTTGTGTTTCTGAATTAAAAAAACAAAACTCTTCAAATCTGGGTTAAGCAACTTCGGAGAAACCAGCAACAGATAAGCTTCATTTAGAAAGTGCCAACCTGAACTTTATCTCCAAGTTAAACTAAAACTTGAGATTTAATGTGGCTTATTTTTTTTTTCATAGTTGATTCATTTTGTTTAAGTTTGGAAACAGCTGTTTCCCAGTAACCCTTTTAAAACATGAGTCACAAGCCGAGACATTTCTGAATCTCAAATATTGTGTATAAATGTTGTTGACAAAGAGCGCCTGCAGCTCAAGCTAGATGTTTAGCAGAAGGAATATAAGACGCGTTGTTATTAAACAAGATGGCGAAAGCAGTTAAGACAAATGAAAAGTTACTTAGGCAAGGTGAGCGAGTAGGTGAACAGGTTTTTTTTGTTGTTGTTTTTTAACAGGGAGGTTAAGTTGTTCTGCAAAAGACAGCAAGTAGGTGAAGATGAGAGGCCAGGGGAAGCAGGGATAGTAGTGACAAAACTAGCGGAGCTGTTGGGGGGAAGCCAGGGTACAAGTTTAACCACCTAACACACAAACACACACACACACACGCGCACACACACACACACAGCAAAGCTAAGGTTTAAACACTATCGCTACAGACCCAACAAACAGCACTGGAGGCTTTTTTTTTATGTGAATGGTCAGATGGGGAGGAAGAGAAAGAGGAGATGTGAGGCATCAAGGAAACATGTCTAAGGTTGAGTCCCCCCTTCTTTTTTTTTTTTTTTTTTTTTTTTAGCAGATAGGGGTAAATGGATTCATCCAACACTGCGTTACATCACAGAATGATTGTCCTCTTCAACATACCTCCCCTCCTCTCCTCATGTGCACTATTCCTGTCTTTTCTTGTACTCTCCTCCTCTCACATGCGCGCGCACACACACACACACACACACACACACGCACACACACAGAACCCTGTGACCATAAAGGACATCTATATACACGTATACACTCTCTCAAACACAGAACGCACAGGCACCTACAGACACATTTTGACCCAATAACACAGCGGACTGGTTTTGTTGGCAGGAAGCAGAGGATTGGAAAGTGCACATGTTGATCATAGAGCTTAAAGCTGGTTGGCCAAGCGCACAGACACAGCAGTATGTTGTTGATATGACAATCAGAGCTACAGTGAAACAATACAAAAAAACCATTAGCAACCTTTTCAATTTTAAAAATGAGAATGGCATTTCCCCTCCCCTACCCAACCCCCCCTTAAAGTCCAGAAGGTGTATCCATATTATTTTAAGATGCTCTACTCTATAAAACGGGTTGGTAACAAAGTGAAAGTAAATTTGATCTCAGAAGTAGTTTGACAGAAAATTCCCAAAAAACAACATTTTTGAGGGCAATATAATTTTTTTTAATTAAAAAAAATGGTTAGTTAATTTAAAGGATACTCAAATCCCATCAATTAAAATATACAAATATCTCTGTAGCTGTAATCAGAAAAGTTGCGCATATGCGATCTTATTTCTTCCTTCTTTCCGGCCCACTGCAGAAGACTATACTTTGCTGTGAAAAAGTACCTACACATTTCAGACATCCCCATGTTTCCTTCCACCCCTTCTCTCCCTCAGTGAGCAGTAATGTGGTGTTGAAGTGTGAGGTTCCTAAGGCAGTATCACAGTACAGTCCATAGAGAAACAACAACAGAACAGAATTACACTGGCCTGCCCAGAAACGTACATCCAGCTCAGGTGTGACACTGACATGGTCTGGATTTAGATCTTCTTTTTTTTTTAAAGCCTCAGATGATTTGGTTTTTACTTTCTAGATGGTGTCTTTTTCATGATTTGACATCATAGCTGTTTCCTTTAGATAAACTATTAAAAACATTCAAACTTAGGAAGCATGAGGGGGGGGGGACAAAGATCCTGATGTAAATTGAAATCTCTCATTTCCTGTGGTGCCCTGGTAGCTCTGTGGGCTAAGGCACAAACCAGGTATCACAACATCATAGGTTTGGAACTAGCTCATCACCACCATCACATGTCCTGTACTCCTACTTAAATCATACTCGACTGTGGAAGAAACTAAATACATTTAATCAGTTACAAAAAAATGGCTATATAACCAGGGCAGAAACATCGGATTACACAACATGACTGCATCATTGTAGCCAGGTATGTTAACTAGTTGAGTAGCTAGTAAATGCGCCTTTTAGCTACAGAAACTTTAACATTTTGATAATAGATCTTCTGTTGAAACATTAAATTGCTAAGAAATAATACATATTTTCTTGTTCCAGCTTCTCAAATGTTTAAATTTTTTACTTTATAGTGTTTTACCGTGTCTTTGGGAAATTGGGGGGAAACACTTTTCTTTGGCTCTGGGAATTATTGATTTGCATAATTTACAAAAGTATTACTGGTTAGAGAAATAACAGACACATGAATGGATACTTAAAGTAATAATGTAGAATTAACTGTGGCTTCATACTAAAATTCAAAGCCGTTTTAGCTACAGTTTGGTGTGAAGTGAATCAGAAAGACATTTCCTATGAGAAACTTTTAAAGACGGGGATGGGGGGGATCTTTTCTGTGGTTTTGATCAGGGTCTCCTTTAACAAACTTCTCGAGGCCTCCAGGAGTTCAGTGGCACACCCCTCAGATATAGGGTTCTGGGCCAGAGCTGGACCAGGAACCGTAATGATGTGGGCTGGTTCTGACACGCAGGTAACCGTTTTTCTGATGTGTCAATCACATCTACCTTGTACAGCTCTGTGAGCTGCTTTTTTCTTTTTTTGATGATGAGATAGACTATGTCCAACCACACACTATCAGACATTGACTTAATGCTAACAAGTGAAACAGGTTGGAGCCACAGGAGAGCCTGAGGAGTGCCAGAACCAGCCCTGATGTTTCTGGTTTAGGTGATATTGTAGTGTGTGTGGTCTATAGTACAGTAGCATCAACACAATGGTCCAATAGACAGATCAGATAGAAGATATCATACAGATGGTCCAATACAGTTATAGTACAACATCTATACATCAACTATACATTGTGCGTTTTTTTTCTCCTTTGTTATATTTTGAAGGGGTCTGGGGTTAGACTTGGTCACCATTACACTACTGCTGTAAGACGAGGAGGGGGGTGGAAAAGTGTTGGGCAGAGCCATAGATAGACAGTGTTGCAGTCGTGTAGCAGCAGCAATTCAAAGTGCCACAATGGTGCGAGTTGGAAACTAGTGTGGAGGGCCATCGATAACATTAAGACTCTTTCAAGGGTTGAATTGAATGGTATTAATAGAACAATGAGGGAAAGTTTAAGATGAATAATTTAGGGTAGAAACTGTAAGATGACCAACATCAGCTGAAATCATTTTGCCTTAGATGTTGGATCACTTTTGGATTAATATTAAAATATGTTGTTGTGTTTTTTTTTCTCAACGCAACAAGGAAACAGTCCCAATCAGTTGGAGTTTAGATTTAAGGGCTCTGGTGACGACAGTAAGTGTCAGTCAACTGTGACAAATCCAAATCTCAGGGGGGGAACAAATCCTACAACCAACCTTGTAGTGTATTTTACTTTCTTCTGAAAGTACAGCAGACAATGAATTCTACACATTTTTCTAATATTTCCATACAGGACAATCCTGTAAAAGGAAGTAGGGCGGGCAGATGCAAACTGACTTGTGCACCCTTGTATTTTTACATTTTCAAAAAACCTATTTGAAGCTTGTTATGTGTTATATAAAAGTGGAGTTAAGTGGAATCAGAGCATTTAAACTCTACAGATTTCATATTTCTTGTGAGAGAAGTTGCAACAACAGCACAGCCACAGTCCAACCTGACCAAACATTCTGTCGATCCATGACTCTGGTTTTGGAGGAGTTGCAGGTAAAGGTTCAGTTTACAGGATCAGGACACTGACGGCTTAAAGGGGTAAAGGGTTAACGGGGACGGGACTTAAGAGGGGTTACAATACTAAAGGAGTTTAAGGAGTCTGGATGATGAAGTGCTGAAGTTTGGTGATGACAGTCAAGGTTTTACAGTGATGACAGATTTACCGAGATACAGGATTTGAGAGATTTATGGGTTAGTATGAGTCTTATGGGTCCGTTATGTTAGGATATGACAGTGGCCTCCGTAACTATAGCAGGGTCTTCTATGTCCGCTTTACTTTGAACCATCCTCAGCTCCAGCTGGGGCGGACTGGGCCTCCGACCAGGACCTGCCAACTCTGAGATCAAGAAAGAAGACAATACATTCTAATGAGACACAAATGATTGGCTTAGTGTTAAATAGTTTGAACACTACCACAGTTTGTTAAGCAGGACAAAAAAGAAAAGCCCAAATCTGACTTTTTCTAATTGTGTTATCTATTCTAGAAATAACCTCCTGAGGATTCAATTTTAACATAAATGTGAATATGACTCTCCTTTTGATCTTGTTGGTGTATTTTATTTCTGAGCTTTTAACCTCCTGTGTAGAACTTCTGGTGTGTATTGAGTTTGGCACCCCCAGGGGACAAAGCAGTGTTGATGATTTTGTCCTGAACATGTGTAAGCAGTGTTTTTGATGGAAAAACACCCTGTTACCTTTTGACAGTAAAATTGTTCAAAGAACTAAAACTGCACGCTGTTTTAGCAGCTTCTGTCAGCGACCCTGTGGCAGTGGTTACAGGAATGAACGAGAACTATAAAGAAACAATAAAACTTGTCGTTGATGGCATTGTTTGCCTTTTTAGCTCATCAGGAGGCATCTGTATTAACTTCAGTCTGTTTCATAACCAGATAAAAAAAAAAATCCCCACAGGAACTTTAAACTTCGATCCCAGGCCATACTGTTCTTACCGTGGGCATATGAAATGGTCCTCTGGATGACATGGTGCATCACTGAAAACGTCTTCTCACAGGCCATCTGAAGAGTAGAGCGAGTGAAAACAAAGCAGTTACCTCCACATGCCAGGGTACCTTGCCTTGTGGTTAAATCACAGCAGTAGAGTTTGTGCTCTTCCTCATGAGATTTCTGAACCCTCAGAGGCAAACATCGTGAAGTTGAGGTTCTTAATACATAATAAAAAACATAAGCATTTTAATGTGCCACTGATTGATGAAACAAAAGTAAATCAAATCGAAAGAAAAGTTTCAAACAAGAAAGAAGCATTAGGCCAAGATCAGAAGAGGTGATGTATCAGTTTGATGCATCTTTTTTCCAGTTAGCAGTAAATGTTTTGTGTGCTGCCTGGAGTGCCTTGTGTTTTAGCAGGTGTGCTCTGCTTTAGGTTATAAAGTAGATAATAAAACTCCAACTCTGCAGACAAGAACACAAGTCCATTTTGAGGTTTTGCAAGGCTGCTGCCTATGATCTTAAATCAATTACTAAGAGTTAAGTGTTTTATTATCCTCATTATATTGGTATTAGAGGCAGCAATAGCTGATGAAAGTCTCTCTCTTGCTCTCCTGAGTCTGTCAATGGTTTGAGGAGAAATCATAATAACTATAAGAAAATGCTAAATCTTAGCTATATGGGCCTATCTGTTATGTTTGATCTATTCTATTGGCATGCAAAATGAGAACCTCTGAAGCCAAACACTGGTGTGTCTTTACCTTAAGGTCATTAGGGTAGTGGTGTGTCCACGCTAGCAGCATAGCAGCAAATAAATCTCCAGTTCCTACAAAGACGGCGTCCACTTTGGGCACTTCTATTCGAACTCTCTGCGTCGCCCTGCTGCCATCCGGGCGAACTAAACAACACATAAAGGGAGAAAAAAAAACATGTTGAGAGGTTAATTTTGCTTGTCTAGTCTTACAAATATTCATCACATCAAGTCACATGGCGCCTACCATGGCGCTGGCTGCCCAGCGACACAAGGAAGCGGTCTCCGAGTCTGGAGGGCAAATCAGAGGAGGTGATGACCACTGTGTCTGGGCCCATAGCATGGAGAAGGTCCATAACCTGCAGACAAGTCAGTGAGTGAGATACTTGGTCATGTACTGACTCTGCAGGTAGTCTATGTGAGATGTCTAAATCAATTGGGCACATATCTGTCAGATATGATTAATTAATTCGATGTGAGTTCTATAAAATCTATGAAGAGGTGGCAAAAGGTGGATGCCAAACGTTTCAAAATGTATTGTCAAGACTCAAAGATATTCGGTTACACTCAGAGAGGAGGAAAGACCTCAGAAATTAATAAATCTGTAAGTGGAATCTCAAAACCCTGCACACCTTTAACTGTCTTTACACTGCAGCTCAAGCTTTTATGTCATGTTGCAGTCTCTAAAGCTAATACAATTTATTCTGTGAAAAAATAAATTATTCAAGAAAGGACAGAAGGATTGCGTAGTTTGTGATTTATTACCTCTACAGCATCTTTCTCTGTGCTGATGTTTTTCCCCGTCAATAATCTAAAACACAAGCAAACAAATCAGCGTCATTACAACACTAAAAATCAGCTCACTAAACGGCAAAAAGATTCTCCCCTTAAGGAGTCAAATCACTAACCATATAAAAGCTCATACTGAAATATTTACACGACTTATTCATCTCATGCTAATCAGTGTAATATACAAGAGCAACGACATCAACTAGAGTCTTAGCAGATAAATAAAACTTTAAATCTATTGTTGCAGTTACATAGAGTCACCACTATGTGGAGTACCTTGACAGTGTAGCAGAAGAGAGGATGAGCTGACAGTTCTCTTTTTCCACTGATGTCAAATGTTGCTATTTTTTCCTAATTGGGACATTTAGTGCATTCAAGCAAAAAAAAAAAAAAATGTCTACAAGACTTCTTAGTCTCTACGTTTTTTCCAAGAGGATAATTAAAAATCAATTTAAACTAAACAATAGACGCTGACATCATAAGAACTCAGACCAGAGACATTGAAATCAAGCTCTTTCACCCTGCTGCACACACTTGTAGGTCCATCAACACAAACACATGTTGGTCGTGTGGCCAAGTGTTACAGAAATCTACCTCAACTGTTAATCTCTGATATCTCTAATATGTATGACACATGTTCCACACTAGAAAAGTTATGTGAAAATATATTTATTGTGTTAAAACTGGAAAGAAAACAGGGGAGCTGACAGATTTTAAAATCATTCTTTCCCAAAGTATCTAAAAGCATCGAATGAAGGTGTTAGATAACGGCCTGAGTGGCATTACATAAAAACGAGGCTCTGCTACTCTCACAGTTACAAACTGTGTATTGTCTCAGTACATTTATAATCACAGAAATGTCAGACTAGATTTTCTGAAGGGTAATAGCAACACAAATGTGCAAATATGAAGAAAGAAAAAACACTAGTACTCACTCTGCCTCAAACTGGTTAGGAGTAATAATGTCAGCAACAGGAACCACCTTGTTCTTATAGACGGGATAAAGATTCTGAGGAACGTACTGTGGAACGACACACACAAGTTAGAACAACTTAACCCAACGAACATGGCTCAATGACTACACAAACATAAACTCATTATCTCATTTCATTTGAACCTTTTCCCTGATTTATGTTGTCATGGTTACAAATGATGTGCGCTCACTGACAGAATATGATCTTAATCCCCGGAAATGTGCACACACACTGAGTCAGTGTGTAGACAGAGTCCAGTCAGATCACTATAATCCATCCGTCAGTGAGAAAGTATCCCTGTCAGAGCAGTGCACTAACACACTAAAACAAAACAGGGATGGATACTAAAGCCTCACACACACACACTCATTAAAAGGCACAAAGATTTAGAGTGTTTGAATACAATATAAAAACAACAGACACAGTTATGTGCACAGACAGGACACAGAGCATAAAACTGTCACATTGCAAATGATCTCACCATAGATCCATGATCCCCGAGGACAGGGTCACATACTGAAATGACAAAAAAAAAAAAAAAAAAGCACACACATTCAGGGTCAGACTTCAGGGATATATATGTTACAACACTGACAGAAAACAAACAAACATATAAAGTCTAGTTGAAGCATTTCTTTGAGCGCACTCACACTAGGCAAGTTGTACCGTGCTTAAGCATGATTGCCCCTCCTCCCCTTTCCCCTGCTGGCTGGCACTTAACACTGCTCCAGGACTAACTGGCCCTGAGCCTTTTGTACATATGGTCGTAATACAACACATGAAAGGCTCACGTAATTATGAAGTTATGCTTAGTTTACAACACAAGTAGACTCGAATATAAAATAAATATAAAATAAAAGAGACGCGTGGTTGAGTCCGCGTCCGCACATCAGAGAGCAACACAGAGAACATGACAGCTACTTTACTGACTTTGTGGCTTGTTTTGAGTCATTTAAGTCAGATACAGCCAGAACCATAATGAAGGCTGTCAACGTTGTGTGTCTGTGCTTGTGCATTAACTGTACTGTGCCGAAGCACACCTCTTCCAAGCATGCCAGGTTCAAGCACGGTACGGACTGCCTAGTGTGAGTGCGCCCTTACAGGCTGTAAATACATCACAATACATCACATCTTATCCCATCTCTCCCCTATCCCTTTCCAACCCCGGCGCAGTCTAGGCCTGTGAAGACTGTTTCGTCATGAGCCGGGGATCCGGCCCAAGATTTCTGCCTTTTAATAAGGCAGTTTGTTCTTACCACTGTAACTTTTGATGATGATGCTCATGATGGATAGGCCGGGTCTTTGTAATATAACAATAAGTAAGGTCTTTTACCTGCTTTTTGTAAAGTGTCTTGAGATAACACTTGTTATGAGTTGACGCTATACAAATAAATTGAATTGAATTGAATTGAATACAGTAAAGTGGAAGTTCAGAATAAGTTACTAACCAATTGCATTTTATTTCTATTTCTAATTTCAGTAGCAAAAAACGTATATGAAATTATTCATTTATGATAATCATGGTAGCAAACAGTTGCTGATTCACAGTTGAACAAATAGGGAACAGCATTTTCTCTATTTAGTTTGACTGCACATATCCACAACCCAGGATTCTGAGAAGGTTTAGCAGCTCCCTGCTGGTCTCTCAGACGGATCAGTGGTGGTCAGAGAACACTAACAGTAGAGTTGTGCGTTATAAAATCTAAACTATGAGCTGAATAGCTTCAATGTTATTTGTAAGCAGTTCATTTAAAATGAATACGAGATACTCGTGAAAATAATAGCTGAGCTGAAGTACCAATATGAAAACAATACTTAACAATACAATACTTAATTTGACTTTTTAAAACATCTAGAATGATCTTCTCAAAGGCATCAGTGTGTCTGTCAAATGTTCCTCTACAAAGAGCTGTGGAATCTTTTTCAAGTGAAAAATAAACAAAGAAATGGCTTAAGTCAGCAAATAGCACGTAAACAAGCTCTTTAAGCCTGTTGACCTGTATGTTAAATGTGAACACAGTTCATATCATTAAGGTCTTTACTGATGCTGTTAGTCTCAGGACTTCATCTCGTCCACAGGCATGTTCACAGTGACAGCGTCTCATACTTAGTGTCATCTCTCTCTCTCTCTCTCTCTCTCTCTCTATTAACACTGCCATGTTGACCTCTCCACTATGAAAGTTAAAACTGATTAAGGGTACACTGGAAATGTATTCTTTCATCCAAACATGATTACCTTAATTTTATCCGACATCAAAGACATTTCAACACACTCAGAAAAGTATACAGTAAAAAAGCCTTCTCTGTTCACAACAGAAGGTTATTTGTTAAATAAAGTACACATAATGCAGGTCACCCTCTCACTTTTCATCCTTTTCTACAGAGGCCCTACGTCTTAACTATATCTACTAACACGGTTTCTGCAGGCTGAGCTGCAGCAGTCTTGACTTAAGTGAAAGTGAGTTGTGCAACATGAGAAACAGGGACAGAGTTATTCTGACTCTGAACCCTCTGTACATAGATTTGAATCAGTTTAGTTTATAATCCATTTAACATGAATCACTTTATTTGATCCAGATCTCTGCCCAACATACATTTTATTTTTTTATCATTGACCTGGTGAGTGTGAAGTTGGTATTATTTGTAGTTAAGCTCTAATTAAACATATTTATATGCTAACAATGGGTTTAGTGACTTTATGCAACATTCAAGACTCACATTAGAGACAAACTAATAAAGAATTGTCTTCTGACTGCAGCTGTGCAGTTTTTTAACTTATCAAAATCTATATCTATATCAATATCAAAATCTTGACAACAGCAGCAGGCAGCTGTTTTCATTCTTTAGCTGAGAGATAACCCTGGTTATGATCATCGACTGAATATGAACATAGACGAATTCCTGAGTGACGTCACCAATTAGTTTCTGAAGGGCTATTTTGGAAACCTATCCCTGGCAGTTGCCATATTGGAATTGCTGACTCTGTCAAACTTTCAGTCAACCTAAGGACAGGCAAAGAGCTGGAGCTGAGACTGGCCATAAGCCTCCTGACAAGCCACTAGACCGGGGCCCCTTGCAGTCAGATAGTCACTCCCCTTTTTATGCATAACTCTTATCCTAAATAAAATCAAAACAGGCGAGTTATAAAACAAAATGCTACACCAGTACAACAAATACATTATCTTATCAAAACAAAGCTGTTTGTTTTTTTTGGACTAGGCTGTAAACATGTTTATTTCTGCTGACTCGATATTTTAATATGGGTGTGTATGGGACTTTCGGGTCTTTTGAAGCCAGCCTCAAGTGGACACTTCAGGAACTGCAGTTTTTTTTGCACTTCTACATTGGCTTCATTTTTCAACACCGGAGGTTGATGCTTAGATATGATACATACACAAAACACAGGTACACAAAACCTAGAGTAACAACAGCAAAATATACAATCTGGACAAATAAATCAACATAAGGGACAGCATCTATTGAAAGAAAACATGCATTCACACTGCTCTATGTCAGGCAAAAGAGATTTAAATTGATTTAAAGGGATTCGCTTGTTTAATTGAATAGATTCTGCAGACTGTTCCATTTATGTGGAACAGAAAGCTCGCTTTCCAGTCACAGTGTTCGGATGAAGATTCAAGAGGACCAAACTGAGTCATTTAAGTAGTAGTACTCACTAGTAGTGGTAATTTAAGGGCAATTAAAGTTTACTGCACACCACAGAAGTCACAGTGCAGGATGACACATGATATGGTGTCAGGTATCTGAGTTTCAGCTTGTAGGACAGTAATCCATGACCCACCGGCCCTCTCAAATACATAAGATTCTGTGCCCCTCTCAAATTAACCCACACATGCCGCTTCCATGCCATATGCACAGCGACACACACGCAATCTAACGTGTCAGCAGTGTGGACGTGAAGAGCCCATCAGCACAGGTGAAAAAACAAATTCACAGACATCGGAGTAGTGCCATCAGTGCAGCTCTTCATAAAACCGAGAGGTTACTTACCATACACCAGGTTGGGGTTTGCTCTCTTCAGCTCCTGAACAATGTCCACGACCATCTCCAAGAAGGATGTGTCTCTGGTGTACCCTGAACACAACACGCACACACTCAAATCACCAAACATATTTTATATTTTCAAAACTTTATCAGTAATCTTACTCTATAGGTTTTATATAATTTTGATCATTCTGAATTTAAAATCTGAATCTCCCTAACATACAGCTTAATCTAGAATCAGTAAAAAGTAGGAGCAGAGTTTGAGATGGTCACCTGTTAAAACATAGTCATACTGGTGTACGTTGTTCAGTTTGATTCCTTCATAAAGAACATGGAGCTCGTCTGCTGTCAACACCTGGCCTTTCCAATGAGAATAACCTGCAGAGAGGAGACAAAGGAGTTACACAAACTGCTGACTATTATATTTAGCAACGCTTTATCCATTCCTGATTCACATGAACACAAAAAGACAAACACACACTGCATAATACACTCGGCCATTATAATGTATATTCATATTACAGCTCCAGGAGTTCAGACACAAAATGAAACCATCAAACTTCGAAAAAGTTGGTTTACCTGAGCAGGTTTGGACACTTTTTGAATGTGTGCATTGAATAACAAACAGACAGTGCAGTAATGTAAGTGACAATATCAAATGTGAAAGATAAGAAATGTTGTTTTTCTCAGCCGAATCAAATGATTTGCTAGTATAGTTTCTGCATGTTAATCAAAACTGTGAGGAGTGATGAGGTTGAAGCCTAGACACCAAACACAAACTATGTGATGCATTTAATGTTTAAAACAAATGCAAAAGTGAGTTGTCTGACTGAAATATGTTAAAAAATGCAATTGTTTTCAGTGTGCAGCACTATTGGGTACAGTTACAGACTCGTTCTTCTGCTGCATGACTCAAAAACATCGTCTTATTTGAGGTGACCTTTTGCCCGTAACTGACTCCTGTAAACTTCAATAAACTAAGTACCGGTACAAAAGGAAATATTTCGGGTTGTGTGTCCAACCAAAGAATACATGCTGTGTGAACCTGAAGTCTCTCACACGCACGCACACGCACACACACACACACACACACACACACACACACACACACACAGTGCAGCAGGTCTTCTAGCAGCAGGTAGCCACAGTGTCTGGTCATTCAGGAACAGAGGGAGGTCTGGGGGAGAACGAGGACACAGGCCATGCTATTAACAATCACCTACATCGTGAATGGAGGTGTGTTGTTTGTGTATGTGTGTATTTTTGTACATCTGGGTGTGCATATTTCTCAAGTATATCAGAGTACTTTGTGTTCCGATATGGATGTGACGAGAATTCAAATGTAAGGCATGCATTGGTGCACGTGTGTCTGCGTATGTCATGTTTGCTGCAGGCTGATGATGTCGCAATACCAGGTGAGTCACAGCCATGTCACGTGGTGGGGGTTCTGGTTGCCAAGCAACAAGCCGGGAGAAAGCCAAAGGGGCTAAGAAAGAGAGATGAGCAGTCAGAGCTCTGTGTTTGTGTGTGTGTGTGTGTGTGTGTGTGTGTGTGTGTGTGTGAGAGAATGAAGGCAGGCCTACAGATTAGAGCGGCTCTTGTCGTCATCATTTGCTGCTGTCGCAATTCACAGCGCCTGCTGCTGTTAACTGCTGCGTCCCTTCTCTCTCTCTGCCTCCCTCGTTCTCTCAATCATCTGCAGTCTGTCGCTCTCATTCAAAAATGTCCTGTCTCTCTTCCTCTCTATTCACCTTCTCCATCCCTCTCCCCAGCTGCCCTCTCTTTCTCTCGGATGCAAATTTCTTCCTCAATACCTCACACCAAATTACATTCTCGCCTCCAAGAAACTGAAAATGTCATTTTCTAAGAGATCTGATGAAAGAAACATTTAATTTTGGAGAAATATGTGAGGATACGTCCTTATATTGTCTGACGTGGATCACTGTCTACTACGTGTGTCATAGAGCAAATATAACAGTGAGCTTTAAAACATACCATAAGAGTAGTCATGCTTATTCTAGTCTAAGTGATGCCTAATGGTTCTTATAATGACCTGAAGGTCACAGTAATCGTGTCTAGGCCTTACTCAAAAATACACATCCTTCTTAATGTAAATGGGACTCTGAAGGTGGCAATGCAGCTTTTGAAGAATCACAATCCAACGCCATCTGGCATAAAAACAAACAAACAAGAACACATTATTCCTTGTTTACTGTTTCCCTTGAGATCCCGTGTCAAAAGTTAAAATCTTAATATTTGTGGTGATTTTTTAAACCACTGGGTGTCCTGATCAAACCTGCCCCTCTGGAGTGTATTTCTTCATCTCAACATTAATCAAAGCACCCTGTTGATTAATGACTTTGTTTTCTTCCTCCATATGCATTTTTAATCTTTTGTTTTTACATTTTGTAAATGCCTTTTGTGTGAATTTTGTTACACTGCTCTCTGTTTAGACTTGTTGTATTCCTGAGTTCCTGCCTTTGCAAATATCTGTTTTAAAAAGGTGTTTTAGGTTATTATCAACATTGTACAAAAATGCAACACATAAAATAAATAAATAGAAAAAAAAAAGCATCAGTGAAACTTTGCTGCCTCCCAAACACAGAGCATCTGATGCCGCTAACAGACGAGTCCCACGCTCGCCCACACAACACTTATCCTAAAGTACAACGACAATCAGTTTTAACCTCAGTCTGACACATCAACATCATCCATCCAGACAACAATGACATGACAGAAATAATGGGCAAACTATGCGGCTTTGAAACAGTCTGTAAAAAAACAAACTAGGGGCGCCGGTAGCCTAGTAGTTAGTGCGTGCGCCACATGTATCAAGACTATAGTCCCCTAAGCGGGCGACCCGGGTTGGAATCCGACCTGTCTGTCTCTCTCTCTCTCTCTCTCTCTCTCTCTCTCTCTCTCTCTCTCTCTCCTCTCTCTCTCTCTCTCTCTCTCTCTCTCTCTCTCTCTCCTCTCTCTCTCTCTCTCTCTCTCTCTCTCTCTCTCTCTCTCTCTCTCTCTCTCTCTCTCTCTCTCTCTCTCTCTCTCTCTCTCTCTCTCTCGTCCTGTCTTTAAATAAAGGCATAAAAAGCCCAAAATTAAAACTTTAAACAAAGAAACAATTAATG